CTAATCTGAGACACAAAAAACGTTTTTTCACTAACGAATAAATGATTACCTATCTCTGATTTTAAAATTATTTTTTCAACCGGTAGCTCTTGTGCTTGCGGTAGCTGACCAATAAAAATTCCTCGACGATTGATCTCTTAACTGTTTACAATTTCCAGTTTACACTTTACACTTATATATTTACAACATCAAATTAAACGAGCTGTTTAACACGACATCATTTCATTTTTTGTTTGGAATTTATTTGCAAAACAATCTCATAAAACATGCAAATTTCGATTATTTCTATCTCATGATTCCATCCATAACCACACTTATTTAACATGATCTTTATTTTGCACATTGTATACATTTTACACACATCATACTCCACGCATGCTCGCGCATTGTCGGAATATATAAAACTAGCGTCAAATATTCCTCGGTTGCGCTTTATGGCCCGTCATTGTGATCCTAACCCCGCGTCTCGCCGACAACGTCGTATATTTTTATTTTTATTGGCATGTGGTATATCTTCACATAAACTCATTGTTTAGAATATATTTTCAGTCATCGCGCAGTTGTGGTATTTATGACGCGCGATTGATGTACACCTGGTTGCATAGACAAGCGGCGTGTGGGTATATGTGTGCTAACCTCAATTCATCTTCATTCAACTCTACTCAACTATCCACTTTATACCCGGTGCTAACAGTAGTTGATAGTGATCGTACTATTTGTAAAGCGTACACAAGTGGCAGTAAGCGGTTGTTAATTGGGTAATTGATGACCATCACACGTTTTTGTTCCGGTCAAGTCAAGGTGACAAAAACGTCGAAAACTTTGCTTGGGGAGAAGGGACAAGGGACAAAAACCTTGATGGATGTTTAAATTTTCCAACTACAACGCGAAAAAACAGGAATTTTGAGGTTAAAGGTGGAAAAGTCAAAAAAACTTTTTTTAGTTGAATATAGATGGCGACACATGAATACAAACACTTGATGTCAATCTTGCTAATGACCATATGCAACCAGTGTTGCTCACCCTTTCTAAACCCTTAAAAATTTAAGTTTACAGGGTTGTACTAAAATATTAAATAAAATAAATGTCATGCAAGTGTCAAACACCTCAATGTCACATGTTGTAGTCATTACACTTTGACTTTCCGTAAACAAAAACTTGCACAACTTTAGCAAAGAAATCTGTTCGCATCCCCAGCATCCCCCTGATGCGACATGCGGTCTTAATACGAGTTGACAAACTCTGACAAAGGGATGAAACGCGATCATGTGTCTACTCGCCGGAGAGTCTGGCGAAAACAAATGTTATTACGCGTAGAAGTTTCGTCCTGCATCCTGTTTGGCAATTTGGGCACGCATTCGAATGCGGGCAAAGCCTCGCAATCCTCGCGCGTAGGCGCGAAGATGACCAACCCCTAAATCCTTCATTTTTTTCCGTATCGGGCAGCGTTCACATTGCGATTATCCGCCATAACACCCTTGTGTTTGGCCACTCACGGACATTGCGCTTTTTATGAACCGGCTTTTCTTTATGTTGTCCTTTTCAAGGATAAACAAGCTTTCGGGCATAAATTGGATTGTCGTAATAAATCCTTACAAAACTCAAGGTCATAATTACCATGTTTCAGGGGAGGTTTTCTAAGATTTTTAGAAAAATATTGACTATTGAAGGTTGCAACATCTGTGACCATGATAAGGGTGTTGAAAGGGGGTTGGGAGGTGTAATCCCGACAGGATCAAGCGGTTCGCCAAGGATTTGCGCTTGGTAATTGGTTCAGCTGGTGTCGACACCGCATACTCATCAATAGCTCATTCAAAACACGAAAAAAATTTAAGGGATGAAAATGAAATGAATTTATGTTAATATGTCTTGTCTAATCTAACCTACTCGTAGTATAACCTAAAAATCATTTTTGTGTTTTAACTGTCTGCGAATTTTTTTTTGTGTGGATGTTTGAGGGATGAATTTTAAGGGGATGAAAATGAAACAACCGGGTTTAAATCCTTTTCCGCCTGCATGTAGGCGCCCATATGTGACCCGTAGAGCGAGTGACCATTTATCATCCGGCAGGCGCAACCACCCCCGGTACGTTTGAGGGGTGTTTTCTCTCTCACCCCATGGACATTTGTTTCTCGCATTATCACCTCAGCGTTTGTTTTACGTAATCGCTTTGTTTGCACGGCGCGCGTCGTTTATCGACGGCGCGATTGTGCAATAACAATTGAACCAGCGCGTCGGGGGCGGCTGCATAAAACAGAGAAGTTCGACGATTTACACTCGCATGAGTGTGAATGTGTGTAAAACTTGCCAAGTGGAGAAATATTGCAGTTTAAGCCGAGCTATCGTTTCCGAGCCGCCGCCACCGCCGCCACAACCGCCTTCAGTGAGTGTAAAACGCACAGTGTGATACATTTCGACGGCGATATCAATTTGAATGCAAAATTGTGGTGAAAGCGGCGAAGGCGCAATGGTGTGCGGACCATTGGGCTCTCCCGGGGGCGGCATAGACAGACATTCGCTCGAGTTCGCACGCAAATCGTCCCGAAAACTACCCACAAATAACCCACGCGAAATTATGTATTTATTATCGTCGCGATAAATAATATGTCAACATAATCTTAAAAATATACAAAGTGTTCAAAACATTTCTTTTTTAATTCACAACACCAAAAACATAAACAAAATTTTTATTAGTTTACATATTTTTGGTTGAATTTAATAATGTCGATGATGTTTGCTAGTTGCATGATGATAATGCACGATAACTGGTTTTTTATTGCCGCCCCCGCTGCCGTTGTGCGATGTTTAACCAACAAAACGACAACTGCCACGCGGCTGCGATAACTAATGAGATTAAACGTCGGTCGTGCGGCTTACGCCATATGTCCATACACCGACGCACGTGTGTGGGAGGTGGCGGCGGGGGCCGGCGGGGTGTTGAAACATGTAAACGCGTGATATGTACACCTGATCGGTGCGCTATGCTGTGCACAATGCCCGCGCTTATTACAATTCGGAAAGTTTGTCGATTGGATTAACCGCCGCCAAACATTTGCGATCGGACGGCGGTTAATAATTTAATTAGGTATTACGCGCAAATTACACGCTGATACTATTATCGCGACATGTTGACATGGCATACATTCGGTATAATTAAAAACGATATTTTAGTTCTGTATTATTATATAAAATAAAATTATGTTAGTTAGAGCAAGTATAACTCAAGAACGGGGCGGCAGATTTTGATGATCAATGATTTATTAGATTTGTCTTGGCCTTAAATAGAAGAATAAATATTATAATATTTAAAATTATTGTTGGAAGGGTGTTAAATATGGGATGAAAGTTGGAATCATGATTTATTTTTAGTTATAGTTTAAAAAATGAATTCCAGATGGCGCTACAGTGACCAATCTTATGTTTACTAAAACTACAAGGACTAAATCGCTGTTTAACAAAAATTAATCGTATTTATATACAATGTGTCTGTGTATTAGATGTAATTTGAGGTTATGTCTCTTGTATGATTAGATGTATGTGAAAAGTAATGAGTTTGTAATAAAAACGTATCCCGCCCGCACAGCAGGTAATATCTTCGTGAAAGCGCTGGCGGCGGCTTGATAGTTATTGCCTCTTGCCGCCCGCCGGCGGTTTCCTTCCTGGACACGAAACACTATAATATAATAAGTTGCTTTTCATAAAGCAACAAGCTGCACGCCGCCTAACAACACGAAACAGGAGATGGCACCAGCAGGGGGCGGCGTGCCGGCGTTTTATGAAGATATTAATTTTCAAATTGTCAAGTGGCCCTTCGCCGGCGAGCGCAAAGCGCAATAACAAGAAAGTCGCGCAAAAGACGAAAGATTAGCGAAGAAGCGACGCGCCTAAATTAATTAATTAAATCTCAGGGGCGGCAAGCACTGCGAGTCTCTGAGCTGCTCAAAGCAAGCGAAGAATCTTCAGCTTTTAAAAGCGACGAGATGTTAAAAAGTCGTAAAGAAGCTTGGGAATAACGTTTGTGACTTTTGGCCTCGTTAACACTTGCCGCCCCCTATGCTGATGCTACTGGCCACGATAATTGCGATAATATCAATTACAACACCCTTGCGCGCACGTATTTTCGAAATTCACAAACGAATCTAATCGATGTTTGTCCGACCTGTATTTGTTCTATTCAGTTGGGGGCGGCAGGATATATGCGTATGCGGGCGATTGTAAATCACACGTTTGATAGTATTGCACTGATCCGCCGATACTTTGAGCGCGCGATGCGCTTGAATTAAAGGATTGCGAAGCGGATTTAAAAGCGGAGGCGGCGGGGACGGCTTGATGACTTAAGCGGCGCTGATTTACGCACGCCGAGGAGGCAATTAACGAGGTTAACGCCGCGTAATCCCGTGAATGATGTCCTCGTTCCATTTCCGCGCTTCCTACGCCCTTTGCATTGCGTTTCGGGGGCGGTGGCGACAGCGTTTACAATCCATCAGATGTGATCCGACCCGCAGGTGTTGTAGATGCGGGCGTGCAACTTATTATCAATTTTTCTTTTATTTTAATTTATGTTAGGGTAAATTTTGAGGTTAGATTTGTATTTGTGTGAATGTAGGCAACAATTGAAACAATTAATAATCGAGTGTTTTACGCCGGCGAGCAAAGGAAGATATTCGGTGTGTGCGAGGCGCATTTTAATGGCTCATTGCTTTTGCTGCTGCCGCCCCCGTGCACACGAGCACGCGCCGCGCATTCATATGTTCGCATTCCGCAAAACGAGCGCATAACGACCGCCACAAAATGCCTCAATTAAATTAATATGCGCGCGAGTTCCCCCTATTCGCCACCTTCGGTGGAGCGGCGGCACGCACCAGAAATCATAAAACAAATGAAACACTCGTCATTGTTATTGTTTTAAAGCGTTTTAAGCGCTGCAAAGCAATAAAACATAAAACTACCCTTAATGTTTTACAACCCCTGTGTAATTAATTGTAAATTTTGTTTAACAGATATCGCAACGGGTAAAAAGAAGCGGGACCCTTCAAGTTGTCCTGTTTGTGGACTAACCATCCCGCCAGGGGACTTAGAAACGCATTTTGTTCATGAATTAGAACGGTTGTATAAGATCAACGGATCAGCGGCGGCGGCAAGTCGGAATAAACGGAGTCATGATGCGACAAGGCCCCCGGCATTGCCAGGTGATGCTGGACCTGATGGTCGTTGGGAGACTTTCCAACGAATCAAAACCAACCGTCAAGGAAGACTAAGAGTCAAACTACGTAAGCGTAAAGCAGATGATTGTTTGCAATGTGACGATGCGCATGCGCAACATTGCCGGAAGGTAACATAACCAAACATAACCCAACAAAAAATATACTAATATTTTCTTTTGGATTAGGGTTTCCATACAGATGAAGACGAACCTGTAGATGTTGAAGGAGACTCCGAATTTGAAGAATGGGCCGAAGGTCAACGCAGACGTACTCATTCCTTGTTAACAAGACATGCTAGGTTTGCCCCCAGTAGTACTGCCGAAGGTGATGTCATTGTAGATGGTGACGACCCTGAAGAATCCGCTTTCGGTCCATCGCAATACACAGAATCTGATGTGGTGGTTCAAGAGACATCCCCCAAGCCAAAGGAGCCTGATACTCCCGTGCAGTCCCAGGTGGCGACTGTCAATTCAAGTGGGGACGTCGAAGTAAAGACCGAAGCGGGTCATCAACAGCAATGTGACAGTAATGTAAGCACATCGGACGCGGAGCCCAGCAGCCGCGCGCAGATGATTGAAGAGCTCCGTAACCGCATTCGACAGCTGGAGACCGAGGGTGGTGGGGGCGGCGGAGGAGGTGGCGATGATAGTCACCCAAAAGATACCGATGACTATAAGTGTTTGATTTGTTTAGAACACTATAAAAAACCGGTTATATCAACGGTTTGTTGGCATGTGCATTGCGAGGAATGTTGGTTGCATACATTGGTAATTACATAACCTATCACGACTGTAAATTTTTACTAAAAATATGTTTATATTTTAGGGAAGTAAAAAAGTATGTCCACAATGCAGCATGATCACATCACCGACAGACCTACGACGCATCTTCATGTAAACCAACCTCCAGAATTAGCTTCATGTGTAATTATCAACTACTAAACGTTAATACACACATATTAATGACTACTGCACCCTTTAAGAAGAATATAACCTAACCACAACCAGCCACCCACCGTACTCATCTGTATCTGCACCCGTACACACATACATTTACACACATGTCATGCGTATATTTTGACACTCTCTGCGTCGACTAACGAATCACAGATGGCGCTACTGTAGCATATAGAGAAAAATATCAAATCCGTATACATGTACGAGATTGTTCTGTTTGATTTTGTTTTGTGTTTTGTTAGAAATATTATTTATTGTTGTTATATCGATGAATTATATTGATGTTTATCCGAAAATGTATAAATGTAAGACGACGTGCATTGAGGCTGCGGCACTCACATCTGTGTAATATAAATATATTATATTATAAGATTTACTTAATGAAATATTACGAATATACACGATTACGAATTGCTTTGTATTATATTGTAGGTAGAATTTAAATTATTATTAAATTATTGTACATTTTCAACATACATACTTACATACACGCACACATACTAATTGTAATACATTACACTGTATATTTTCTTGTAGATATTACTTAATGACGTAATAAATAATCCCAAGATTATATCAATGTGAAATTTGCGTTTTTACTTGATACACCTGGTATAATTACTTACTTTGGTATATTAGTTTTCTAGTGCAGCTTTTGAACTAATTGGAATTTTTGAATTTTGTTTTCGGATTGTTTCTGTTATCTATTAGAATCCGGAAATAAAATATTGCTAACGTTGACCGTTTAAGCCTTATTTGTAATTAGCGAGTATACAAACCTTACCATGTAATTAAATTTAATAACATTTAGACTCTAAGCTGTTAATGTTATCAAAACAAGTTTCAAAACAAGTTTCCAAAATAATCGATGTAGAATTAAATTATCTGTCAGGTTTCCGATTTAAAATTTAATCGAAATTAATAGTTCCATGCATAGTACGAGTACAATTCAATTCATGTTTTGCACTACCACACTGAAAGTGTCAGTGTATACAAACAAACATGTTTTCTTATCTCGTGCAAGTTTTGTGCGATCGCCACGCGGTTGGCTTGTGTACCACGTTAGTCTCGTTTCTGTCGTCAGGTGATCTGCACGCACAGTTTCTTAATTATTCTTGTGTTGCTAAATGCTTCTTCGATTGTACGCGATTGGTGTGCAGGGTTTGTACCACACGGATTGTACATATTCTGCGTGAGTGATGTTCCGTCGGCCGTCGTATTCTTTTTGTATTATAAGCGTACTACATCGGTTCTACAAAAATTTATTTTGCATCAAGGTATGTTCTCGCACATCTTCAGCCATTTGAAAATCAAATCCAAATCAAAATTCTCTACTTAAAGTGGATATTTCCACGATGCAATTTTAATTCATAAGAAAAAATTGGCAAGATTGGGGGCTTGATAATTTATTTCCACAATTTTCGACAGTGAATATCTTCTAAACTAAAAGAGATAGCAACTAGAAAATTATAGGTTTTGGAAGATTGGAAAATTCTCAATCAGATGGAAATTTAAAGAATTCTGAATGTAGATTAAATTCTGAAACGGTAACCAGTAACACTATTATATATTAGAGCCTTATTGGCATCTATATCCTAATTTTTTCTTAAAATTGCTAACATAAACGATAAGCCCTATTTGCAAATTTATTTAAAAAAATTGAATTTGCAGCGAAACGAATTAATTTACAACTGAAGTTTTTTTTTACAGTATTCGCCGTACCATGGAGTTCCGCATTAATATTAACATAAACGTTAACACTACCCTTCTACAGTGCCCTGAATGGGAGTCACTTCTACCGCTACCCTCGTACGGTGCCCTGAATGGGAGTCACTTCTACTGCTACCCTTATTGGGTGTCTTAAATGGCAGTCACTTCTGTCGCTACCTTCGTACGGTGCCCTAACTTTTGTGATTTTGCACCTTAGTCTGATATCGTAGAAGGACCATTCTTGCGTCAGATTGTAAGTAATTAATTCCTTTATTATTTTCATAACTAACTTTTGTGATTATCTCACAAATTGACCCCCAAAATTGCATTTTTATGTTTGAAGGACTAATTTTTGCTGGTTTTAGGGATTTTGCACCTGAGTCTGACATCGTAGGAGGACCATTCTTGCATCAGATTGTAAGTATTTAATTTCTTTATCATTTTCCTAAACAACGTTTGTGATTATCTCACAATTTAACCCCTAAAATTGTATGTTTATGTTCGATGGACTAATTTTTGTTGGTTTTAGAGATTTTGCACCTGAGTCTGACATCGTAGGAGGACCATTCTTGCATCAGATTGTAAGTAATTAATTTCTTTATCATTTTCCTAAACAACGTTTGTGATTATCTCACAAATTGACCCCAAAAATTGCATTTTTATGTTTGAAGGACTAATTTTTGATGGTTTTAGGGATTTTGCACCTGAGTCTGACATCGTAGGAGGACCATTCTTGCATCAGATTGTAAGTAATTAATTTCTTTATCATTTTCCTAAACAACGTTTGTGATTATCTCACAAATTGACCCCAAAAATTGCATTTTTCTGACCGAAAGACTAATTTTTGATGGTTTTAGGGATTTTGCACCTGAGTCTGACATCGTAGAAGGACCATTCTTGCATCAGATTGTAAGTATTTAATTTCTTTATCATTTTCCTAAACAACGTTTGTGATTATCTCACAAATTGAACCTCAAAATTGCATTTTTATGTTTGAAGGACTAATTTTTGATGGTTTTAGGGATTTTGCACCTGAGTCTGACATCGTAGGAGGACCATTCTTGCATCAGATTGTAAGTATTTAATTTCTTTATCATTTTCCTAAACAACGTTTGTGATTATCTCACAAATTGAACCTCAAAATTGCATTTTTATGTTTGAAGGACTAATTTTTGATGGTTTTAGGGATTTTGCACCTGAGTCTGACATCGTAGGAGGACCATTCTTGCATCAGATTGTAAGTAATTAATTTCTTTATCATTTTCCTAAACAACGTTTGTGATTATCTCACAAATTGACCCTTAAAATTGCGTTTTTCTGACCGAAAGACTAATTTTTGATGGTTTTAGGGATTTTGCACCTGAGTCTGACATCGTAGGAGGACCATTCTTGCATCAGATTGTAAGTAATTAATTTCTTTATCATTTTCCTAAATAACTTTTGTGATAATCTCACAAATTGACCCTTAAAATTGCATTTTTATGTTCGAGGGACTAATTTTTGATGGTTTTAGGGATTTTGCACCTGAGTCTGACATCGTAGGAGGACCATTCTTGCATCAGATTGTAAGTAATTAATTTCTTTATCATTTTCCTAAACAACGTTTGTGATTATCTCACAAATTGACCCTTAAAAGTACCTTTTTATGACCGAAAGACTAATTTTTGATGGTTTTGGGATTTTGCACCTGAGTCTGACATCGTAGGAGGACCATTTTTGCATCAGATTGTAAGTAATTAATTTCTTTATCATTTTCCTAAATAACTTTTGTGATAATCTCACAAATTGACCCTTAAAATTGCCTTTTTCTGACCGAAAGTCCAATTTTTGATGGTTTTAGGATTTTGCACCTGAGTCTGACATCGTAGGAGGACCATTCTTGCATCAGATTGTAAGTAATTAATTTCTTTATCATTTTCCTATACAACGTTTGTGATTATCTCACAAATTGAACCTCAAAATTGCATTTTTATGTTTGAAGGACTAATTTTGTGATGGTTTTAGGGATTTTACACCTGAGTCTGACATCGTAGAAGGACCATTCTTTATGCTTGTGTGTTTTCTTTAATAAAGATTATTTTTTAAGTATTTCTAATTATAATTATTTCTGTTATTTCTACCTGATCACATATTTAACGATCCCTCATTTTACCATTTACCATTTATTTTGAAAAGTGCATGCTAGTGCCATCTATCATTTAGAAACTACAACAACCGAAAGTTTTGAGCTTCGGCCCGTCGCCACTAGAGGCAGCACCTTACAAGTTACCGCAAAACTTTATCAACCTTCTCAACTTTCTGCGTTCCTAATATTCAATCTTTATTTTGTCGACTCTGGGAGGCAAAATGACACAAAATTTGGACTCGAAACAGTCGAAACTCAGGTTTTGGTATTCGGATCGCAGAAAGACTGAGGAGGTATGTAAATAAAAGAGGCGGTAACTAGTAATGGCGGGTAAAATGAATGTTTAAAAATCTTTATTCAGCAAATTCGGTTTTCAAATTCTGAAGGATCTCGACAACTAAGAGGGCTAGAAAATTAAGAACTACATAATCTTGATCCTTGAAAAATTCTCTACAAAGTGGCATCATTATTGAAAAATCTCCAAAATGGCACAAAAAATTTTTAAAGAAAAGATTTTATTAAAAAAATGGCAAAAGATTTCTCTTTTTTATGATGAAAATTAAAAGTTAGAATTTTGAAACAAATTGAAATAATATATATAGTAATTTGGCGGGGAGTATCTATGTCCACTTTCTGCGTTCCTAATACTACAGACTGATGAGCAGCAACATTTCAGCAATTTTCTCGACAAATTTTGTCGAGAAATCCATTGAAATTGGTAACAAAATTCTTTTGAATATTAGGATCGCAGAAAGTGCAGTAGGCTAAATCTCTTGAATAGCGGCGTAGTTTAGTTACTCGTGGATAGATGACACTAGTGATACCGTTTTTAAATTAATATTGATACAATATAAAATTGATTTTGAACTATTTCTCATATCTAGCAGTGGCATTTCCATTAAAGTTTAAGGGATTTATGGATTAATTAAAGGAGTAACGATGTTGTGAGCTATGTTCTCCGTTGGGGACAAATAACACAATAAAAATTTATAGTTAAAAATATAAAACAACAATTTTATTCAAACATGTAGAGTCACAAACTCAATTTCTTAATATATACAGCATTTTTAACAATACAAGAATAAAAACAGGATAATAATATGCAATTAGATAATGCTCTTTTCATACCTTTTAACAAAATACATAAAAATGATATCAATATCAGCTTCAAAATGTTTTAAATTCATTCAATCGTATTTGGAATCATCGTCATCACCGGCAATCCAATCTTCAATTTCTTGGACACTATAAACCAGAATGAATAATAGAATAGTAAAATATAAAATATTATAAGTTGCCAAAATATAACATACGTTCTTGGTATTTTATTCGAGTTGACACATCCATCTTCAGTAATCAGAACATCATCTTCAATACGCACTCCACCAGTACCACGGAACCTCTCCGGTTGGTCCTAACTGGTAAACTTTGCCATCTCAGGATTAGCCAGCCAATGCTTCATCCAACAACTGAAAAATATTTATTTAAATGAAATATACATATACATAAATTAAATGAATTATTCTTACAGGATCCATAAAGACTCCAATTTAGGGCACCGTGCGAAGGTAGAGGTAGGAGTGACTCTCATTCAAGGCACCGTACAATTTACTGCAAGAACGGCGCCCCACGACATTGCGTTCGCCGGCTAAAACAAAAAAAACCCACAAAATTAGCCGACCAACAAACACAAACAAGGCATTTTTGTAGGTTTCCCGAGGGATAAACCCACAAATTATGTATGCGAATTATAAATAATTTAAATATCTATAATTTGGTGAAAGAACGGTTCTCCTACAACATGGCGTTCGCCCGCTAAACACTAAAAACCTTAAAATTAGTTGACCGACCAACACAAAAAAGGCATTTTTTGTATGTTTCCCGAGGGATAAACCCACTAAATATATATGAAAATCATAAAGAATTTAAATATCTATAATTTGGCCAAAAAACGGTTCTTCTACAACGTGGCGTTCGCCCGCTAAACACTAAAAACCAAAAAACTCGACGACCAAAAAGCACAAAAAATGCATTTTTTGTAGATTTCCCGAGGGATAAACCTACAAATTATGTATGGGAGTTATAACCAATTTAAATATCTATAATTTGATGAAAGAACGGTTGGTCTACGACATGGCGTTCGCTCGCTAAACACTAAAAAACAAAAAAATTCGACGACCAAAAAACATAAAAAGGGCATTTTTGTAGGTTTCCCGAGGGATAAACTCACAAATTATACATGACAATTAAAGAGAATTTGAATATCTATAATTTGGTAAAAGAACGGTTCTCCTACAACATGGCGTTCGCCCGCTAAACACTAAAAACCACAAAACTAGCCGACCAAAAAACATAAAAAGGGCATTTTTGTCGCTTTCCCGAGGGATAAACCCACAAATTGTACATGAAAATTATAAAGAATTTTAATATCTATTATTTGGTGAAAGAACGGTTGCCCTACGCCATGGCGTTTGCCCGCTAAATACTAAAAATCACAAAATAAGCCGACCGAAAAACATAAAAAAGGCATTTTTGTAGGTTTCCCGAGGGATAAACCCACAAATTATCTATGAGAATTATAAATATTTTAAATATCTATAATTTGATGAAAGAACGGTTGTCCTACGACATGGTGTTCGCCCGCTAAACACTAAAAACCACAAAATTAGCGTATATGCGTATACACACAACTATCACTATAACTCGCGTTACGGAATTGTCTAGCAATAAATTTCGATACAGGGAAATATAGAATTAAATTCTGCATCCGGGAAAATCAATCCGAACTAAGTTCAAGACCGCGTTCGCGTGTTATAACATTAAGAAAATACAATTCCTCGCGCAACGAGAACTATTGCGTATATGCGTATACACACAACTATTACAATAACTCGCGTTACGGAATTTTCTCGCAATAAATTTCGATACACGGAAATAAAGAATTAAATTCCGCATCTGGGAAAATTAATCCGAACTTAGTTTAAGACCGCGTTCGCGTGTTATAACATTAAGAAAATACAATTCCTCGCGCAACGAGAACTATTGCGTATATGCGTATACACACAACTATCACTATAACTCGCGTTACGGAATTTTCTCGCAATAAATTTCGATACGCGGAAATAAAGAATTAAATTCCGCATCTGGGAAAATTAATCCGAACTTAGTTTAATACCGCGTTCGCGTGTTATAATATTAACAAAATACAATTCCTCGCGCAACAAGAACTATTGCGTATATGCGTATACACACAACTATTACAATAACTCGCGTTACGGAATTTTCTCGCAATAAATTTCGATACAGGGAAATATAGAATTAAATTCTGCATCCGGGAAAATCAATCCGAACTTAGTTTAAGACCGCGTTCGCGTGTTATAACATTAAGAAAATACAATTCCTAGCGCAACGAGAACTATTGCGTATATGCGTATACACACAACTATCACTATAACTCGCGTTACGGAATTTTCTCGCAATAAATTTCGATACACGGAAATAAAGAATTAAATTCCGCATCTGGGAAAATTAATCCGAACTTAGTTTAAGACCGCGTTCGCGTGTTATAACATTAAGAAAATACAATTCCTAGCGCAACGAGAACTATTGCGTATATGCGTATACACACAACTATCACTATAACTCGCGTTACGGAATTTTCTCGCAATAAATTTCGATACGCGGAAATAAAGAATTAAATTCCGCATCTGGGAAAATTAATCCGAACTTAGTTTAAGACCGCGTTCGCGTGTTATAACATTAAGAAAATACAATTCCTAGCGCAACGAGAACTATTGCGTATATGCGTATACACACAACTATCACTATAACTCGCGTTACGGAATTTTCTCGCAATAAATTTCGATACGCGGAAATAAAGAATTAAATTCCGCATCTGGGAAAATTAATCCGAACTTAGTTTAAGACCGCGTTCGCGTGTTATAACATTAAGAAAATACAATTCCTAGCGCAACGAGAACTATTGCGTATATGCGTATACACACAACTATCACTATAACTCGCGTTACGGAATTTTCTCGCAATAAATTTCGATACAGGGAAATAAAGAATTAAATTCCGCATCTGGGAAAATTAATCCGAACTTAGTTTAAGACCGCGTTCGCGTGTTATAATATTAACAAAATACAATTCCTCGCGCAACAAGAACTATTGCGTATATGCGTATACACACAACTATCACTATAACTCGCGTTACGGAATTTTCTCGCAATAAATTTCGATACAGGGAAATAAAGAATTAAATTCCGCATCTGGGAAAATTAATCCGAACTTAGTTTAAGACCGCGTTCGCGTGTTATAATATTAAGAAAATACAATTCCTAGCGCAACGAGAACTATTGCGTATATGCGTATACACACAACTATTACAATAACTCGCGTTACGGAATTTTCTCGCAATAAATTTCGATACACGGAAATAAAGAATTAAATTCCGCATCTGGGAAAATTAATCCGAACTTAGTTTAAGACCGCGTTCGCGTGTTATAATATTAACAAAATACAATTCCTCGCGCAACGAGAACTATTGCGTATATGCGTATACACACAACTATCACTATAACTCGCGTTACGGAATTTTCTCGCAATAAATTTCGATACAGGAAATAAAGAATTAAATTCCGCATCTGGGAAAATTAATCCGAACTTAGTTTAAGACCGCGTTCGCGTGTTATAACATTAAGAAAATACAATTCCTAGCGCAACGAGAACTATTGCGTATATGCGTATACACACAACTATCACTATAACTCGCGTTACGGAATTTTCTCGCAATAAATTTCGATACAGGGAAATAAAGAATTAAATTCCGCATCTGGGAAAATTAATCCGAACTTAGTTTAAGACCGCGTTCGCGTGTTATAATATTAACAAAATACAATTCCTCGCGCAACAAGAACTATTGCGTATATGCGTATACACACAACTATTACAATAACTCGCGTTACGGAATTTTCTCGCAATAAATTTCGATACAGGGAAATAAAGAATTAAATTCCGCATCTGGGAAAATTAATCCGAACTTAGTTTAAGACCGCGTTCGCGTGTTATAATATTAACAAAATACAATTCCTAGCGCAACAAGAACTATTGCGTATATGCGTATACACACAACTATCACTATAACTCGCGTTACGGAATTTTCTCGCAATAAATTTCGATACAGGAAATAAAGAATTAAATTCCGCATCTGGGAAAATTAATCCGAACTTAGTTTAAGACCGCGTTCGCGTGTTATAACATTAAGAAAATACAATTCCTAGCGCAACGAGAACTATTGCGTATATGCGTATACACACAACTATCACTATAACTCGCGTTACGGAATTTTCTCGCAATAAATTTCGATACAGGGAAATAAAGAATTAAATTCCGCATCTGGGAAAATTAATCCGAACTTAGTTTAAGACCGCGTTCGCGTGTTATAATATTAAGAAAATACAATTCCTAGCGCAACGAGAACTATTGCGTATATGCGTATACACACAACTATCACTATAACTCGCGTTACGGAATTTTCTCGCAATAAATTTCGATACAGGGAAATAAAGAATTAAATTCCGCATCTGGGAAAATTAATCCGAACTTAGTTTAAGACCGCGTTCGCGTGTTATAATATTAAGAAAATACAATTCCTAGCGCAACGAGAACTATTGCGTATATGCGTATACACACAACTATCACTATAACTCGCGTTACGGAATTTTCTCGCAATAAATTTCGATACAGGGAAATAAAGAATTAAATTCCGCATCTGGGAAAATTAATCCGAACTTAGTTTAAGACCGCGTTCGCGTGTTATAATATTAAGAAAATACAATTCCTAGCGCAACGAGAACTATTGCGTATATGCGTATACACACAACTATCACTATAACTCGCGTTACGGAATTTTCTCGCAATAAATTTCGATACAGGGAAATAAAGAATTAAATTCCGCATCTGGGAAAATTAATCCGAACTTAGTTTAAGACCGCGTTCGCGTGTTATAATATTAAGAAAATACAATTCCTAGCGCAACGAGAACTATTGCGTATATGCGTATACACACAACTATCACTATAACTCGCGTTACGGAATTTTCTCGCAATAAATTTCGATACAGGGAAATAAAGAATTAAATTCCGCATCTGGGAAAATTAATCCGAACTTAGTTTAAGACCGCGTTCGCGTGTTATAATATTAAGAAAATACAATTCCTAGCGCAACGAGAACTATTGCGTATATGCGTATACACACAACTATCACTATAACTCGCGTTACGGAATTTTCTCGCAATAAATTTCGATACAGGGAAATAAAGAATTAAATTCCGCATCTGGGAAAATTAATCCGAACTTAGTTTAAGACCGCGTTCGCGTGTTATAATATTAAGAAAATACAATTCCTAGCGCAACGAGAACTATTGCGTATATGCGTATACACACAACTATCACTATAACTCGCGTTACGGAATTTTCTCGCAATAAATTTCGATACAGGAAATAAAGAATTAAATTCCGCATCTGGAAAAATTAATCCGAACTTAGTTTAAGACCGCGTTCGCGTGTTATAATATTAAGAAAATACAATTCCTAGCGCAACGAGAACTATTGCGTATATGCGTATACACACAACTATCACTATAACTCGCGTTACGGAATTTTCTCGCAATAAATTTCGATACAGGGAAATAAAGAATTAAATTCCGCATCTGGGAAAATTAATCCGAACTTAGTTTAAGACCGCGTTCGCGTGTTATAATATTAAGAAAATACAATTCCTAGCGCAACGAGAACTATTGCGTATATGCGTATACACACAACTATCACTATAACTCGCGTTACGGAATTTTCTCGCAATAAATTTCGATACAGGGAAATAAAGAATTAAATTCCGCATCTGGGAAAATTAATCCGAACTTAGTTTAAGACCGCGTTCGCGTGTTATAATATTAAGAAAATACAATTCCTAGCGCAACGAGAACTATTGCGTATATGCGTATACACACAACTATCACTATAACTCGCGTTACGGAATTTTCTCGCAATAAATTTCGATACTGGGAAATAAAGAATTAAATTCCGCATCTGGGAAAATTAATCCGAACTTAGTTTAAGACCGCGTTCGCGTGTTATAATATTAAGAAAATACAATTCCTAGCGCAACGAGAACTATTGCGTATATGCGTATACACACAACTATCACTATAACTCGCGTTACGGAATTTTCTCGCAATACATTTCGATACACGGAAATAAAGAATTAAATTCCGCATCTGGGAAAATTAATCCGAACTTAGTTTAAGACCGCGTTCGCGTGTTATAACATTAAGAAAATACAATTCCTAGCGCAACGAGAACTATTGCGTATATGCGTATACACACAACTATCACTATAACTCGCGTTACGGAATTTTCTCGCAATAAATTTCGATACAGGAAATAAAGAATTAAATTCCGCATCTGGGAAAATTAATCCGAACTTAGTTTAAGACCGCGTTCGCGTGTTATAACATTAAGAAAATACAATTCCTAGCGCAACGAGAACTATTGCGTATATGCGTATACACACAACTATCACTATAACTCGCGTTACGGAATTTTCTCGCAATAAATTTCGATACGCGGAAATAAAGAATTAAATTCCGCATCTGGGAAAATTAATCCGAACTTAGTTTAAGACCGCGTTCGCGTGTTATAATATTAACAAAATACAATTCCTCGCGCAACAAGAACTATTGCGTATATGCGTATACACACAACTATTACAATAACTCGCGTTACGGAATTTTCTCGCAATAAATTTCGATACGCGGAAATAAAGAATTAAATTCCGCATCTGGGAAAATTAATCCGAACTTAGTTTAAGACCGCGTTCGCGTGTTATAATATTAACAAAATACAATTCCTCGCGCAACAAGAACTATTGCGTATATGCGTATACACACAACTATCACTATAACTCGCGTTACGGAATTTTCTCGCAATACATTTCGATACACGGAAATAAAGAATTAAATTCCGCATCTGGGAAAATTAATCCGAACTTAGTTTAATACCGCGTTCGCGTGTTATAATATTAACAAAATACAATTCCTGGCGCAACGAGAACTATTGCGTATATGCGTATACACACAACTATCACTATAACTCGCGTTACGGAATTTTCTCGCAATAAATTTCGATACACGGAAATAAAGAATTAAATTCCGCATCTGGGAAAATTAATCCGAACTTAGTTTAAGACCGCGTTCGCGTGTTATAACATTAAGAAAATACAATTCCTAGCGCAACGAGAACTATTGCGTATATGCGTATACACACAACTATCACTATAACTCGCGTTACGGAATTTTCTCGCAATACATTTCGATACACGGAAATAAAGAATTAAATTCCGCATCTGGGAAAATTAATCCGAACTTAGTTTAATACCGCGTTCGCGTGTTATAATATTAACAAAATACAATTCCTGGCGCAACAAGAACTATTGCGTATATGCGTATACACACAACTATCACTATAACTCGCGTTACGGAATTTTCTCGCAATAAATTTCGATACAGGGAAATAAAGAATTAAATTCCGCATCTGGGAAAATTATTCCGAACTTAGTTTAAGACCGCGTTCCCGTGTTATAATATTAACAAAATACAATTCCTAGCGCAACGTGTACTAGTTCGTATATACACAACTGTCAATATAACTCGCGTGGCGGAGTTATTATACACATCAAATGTAAATTTGACCGAAAGATATAATTGAATTATAAACTTACCAGTGTACAGCTTATCGGACTGCCAGGCACGAGTGCTGTAACTAAACGAAAACATAAATTAAAACAAAAATATTTCATACATTTGAATTATGTTATAATTAACAATCTATCAAAATAAACAATCTGTGCTGTTTAGTTAAAAAATACTTACATGAGCCTGATAGATCTTTCTGAATGGGAGCGATATATAACCGATTAATTTAATAACCGACACTAAATGTTATCAAATCCACTATCACGTGATTTGTAATATACATAACAAACGCAATCAAAAACCGGCATTTCCTAATATTAAACAAATTACTATAGTCGCAAAGTATAAATAAATAGTCGATTGATCTGCGAGTATAAAACAAATTTTGAATATTGAAGTCCGACTAAACGATATAAGTCTCTCAAAACACGACTAGATTAACCAGCGAGCGGCATGAAACTGGTTGCAATCCACCGATAGTGCATGCCGAAACTGCGTAAACAACGACGGGACAGAATATGATAAGAAAGCAAGAAGTGCACAAAACCGACGCGTCGATGGTACGCGACCTTGTGCGCGAATTGCAATAGATGCGCAAATCCGGCGGCACGTCAACGGCACGCGACCTTATGCGCGAATTGCATTTGGCACTTTACCTGGGATCAAAACTGAACTAAGAAGCAGCAACATGCGGTGTGAGGTGCTGGCAATGACGACACACGGCAATGCGATAAGAAAGTGTATACTATGTTCAAGCAACATAGTTTGATTTGCGTAATTCTGATTGCATATACTGACAAATTGTCAGGTTTTACATTAAATATTTACGTAATATTTAATTTGAACATGCATCGTTTCTCGTTTACCAAGTAACACTAAGTTAATATAAAATTGTTAGTTATATTCATGAAAGAATTGATGAATATTTACTTAGTTTTACGATGCTAATATATTAAACAGCAACGGTGTATTTTGATTCCACAAAATAAAGATTCGATACCTGCAGGTAAACAAACTTATCTCTTGCGCGAAATCGCGTGATCGCACACGGACACGGTGTGCACTCACTACCACCAACAAGCAATATTTAATGCAAAATCGTACATCGTAGCGCCATCTAACCTTTGAAAATATTTATCAAAACACATTTATTAAATATGCAACAAAAATATGCAAAAAAGTAAATTCATATCTGAAAATGATTTAAATAAGTACAGTACGCGGTTTAAAATGGGGAAACACAACGGGATGACACCATGTTCGTGTGTTATAACAAAAAACTACAATTCCTAACGCAGCGAGTACCACGGCACACACACACACAACTTTCAATATAACTCGCGTTACGGAATTTTTTGGCAATACATTTCAATACAGGATGATACAGAAATAAATTCTGCATCAGGGAACAAAATTTCGAATTTACTGTGACACCGCGTTCGTGTTTTAAAACAAACAAACTACAATTCCAAGCGCAACTTATTCTAAGTTATTCTATGCCATATTATAATATAAGACACCGTTATAAAGACTGTTAATACCTACAATTTGGTGCAATGAAGGTTATCCCATGACATTGCATTTGGTCGTCAAATGCCAAAAACCATCAAAAAGTAGCCTAAACTATCAATGATATGAAAATAATTACTATCTGATTATCTTGCTTTGTTTTATTGACGCATCAGTTACTTACATCATTGTTTTATTGATTCATAGCTTTGAATTATTAAAACTTGGAATACTTGAGATTAGTAGGGTTTGTAGGGCGTATTTGAATTGTTGTTACATTGATGTTACAAATAAATATTTAACAATTAGTTAAAAAAAGTTAAAAAGTTATTTGCTGTCCATAACTATTATCAAATATCGTGAATACTATTAATATACATTGTCACCACGGAGTACGCAAATTTATACACCTAAAACAGCGCTTTAAATAAATATTTTAATTAAAAGTATGTACGTTTGCAATACATCAAGCACAAGGGCATTAGAACAAATTGCATAATAATTCCCAAGTGGTAGCACAAATCCATTAGCCGAATTTAAGTGCATAAACATCAGAAATCTTACGCTTTCAACATCATCGTCCCAGGGACACGCGAAAAATATTGCGTGTCTAATTTGGTCACCCTAAAATTAATCACAACTATTTATATTGAACCTAAGTACATACATACAAGTGTCATTATATCCTCGCCAATTGTTCCAATGAAAGTGCAGCCTATAAGATATACAAAAAGATGGCACAGTGACATAACATCAAACCGCTAAAAAATACCACGTAATCAGAGAAAACAATTAAAATATTTACTTAGAAAATATTACAACAATTACTGTAATCAAAATTAATGCCATCAATAATCCAGTGATTAGGACATACACTAATAAAGGCCACTTATATACTGTGACCAATGTAATCCATCTGCTGAAGAAATTGAGCATATTTAAAAAAGATATAAATTTATTATAATAAAATTATTTCATACTCTAACATGTATACATGTTGTTTGCAAGCAGTCGTTAAAATGAATCGTCGAATTCTTTTGTTTTCGGTGTTTTTTGCTTTTTGTAAGGTAAAATGAAATGCGTTGTAAACTAACTCCAAATATTTCAGTAAATAGTGTAAAAATAGTAAAGCTGTCAGTGTGCCAAATGTCGGATAAAATAAACTGCAAATAGTGATAATATTATGCATAACTCGAAATAATTGCGTTTGTTCTCCCACAAAAAAATACTGCAACAAAATTATTAAATAATTTGAATTATAATAATAAATAAATATTGCCATACGCATGGCATAACATATCCACATGTATAAGTTGGGTCATTCATGTCACACGTTTGGAATTCCACAATTAATATTGCAATTAACGCAACACAAATGCAGTATGCAATCAAAGCTCGCTGAGCTAGATTATGTGATTTTATAAGCTGCAGATGCCTTATATTGCGACTATTGTAGTATGGATTATGGTCGATCATATCAAACAAGTAATTTATAGTATCGTGTTTGACTCGGGCACTGTATACACTAAAGTATCCAAAACTTGCGGACAACATCAGTGTTAAATTAAAAGTCACATCGGCAAACGATCCACCAGTGCAATATTTATTGTAAAGATGACCTATGTTTCCATAATAAAAGAAAGTGAAGCTGAGAATGCATAAAATGTTGCAAAGAGCGTTTCTTGCTGAATTTGCTCCGGGAAGGTAGTATGTTACCATTATATTTGCAGTTATAAATGATTTTGTTATACTCATAATGTTATGTTTGAGAAAACGACAGAACTTTTTAATTTAGATCACCATCATCTTGGTTGCAGGAGAACGTTTGGATGACTAGAATGAAACAATCGGTAGTTTTTGTTTTGTTCAAGCAAAATTATAATTCATTCTGAGCATAAGTAGTAATCAATGCTAATATGCTTTATAATTACAAATCACTTTATCATAAAAAGTTTCAAACTCTATGTAGGAAAAATTAAACGAAAAGGTGGAAGACTAATGCCGATCACGATACGAGTAATTTGTAATTTATTGGATATCGACCTAAAACCGTTATTCAGTTTTAACTTCATATTGCTTGACTAATGTCCTATGATTTTTTGTTGTATATTTAAAAGTTTCATAAATGTGACTAATGGCTTTTGATATTTATCTTTTTGTAAGTACTATTTGATTAATCATATTTGCAATCCATTATATGAATAAAATAGCATAATTGATAAAAGTACTTATGACATTTTTAACAGTGAATATCTTCTAAACTAAAAGTGATAGCAACCAACGAATCGCTGATTATGAAAGATTGGAAAATTCTCCATCAGATAAAAATATTAATTAAATATATTTTCGACAGTACAATGTCAAGAAACGCGACTAAAAGTACTAAAAAGTGACATTTTTCAATTTTTGCCCATTTTCTTCAATCGCGAATATCTCGTAAACTAAAAGAGATAAATAAGATCTGATCGCAGCATCTTAATCTACGGACTATTTTCTATAAGATAAGATAGTTAAAACGTAATTCTGAGAGGTAAAATTTTTATTCTTAAGACAAAAATGCCAAGGGGGGGTGCTTGATACTTTTTTTCGACGATTTTCAAAAATTAATATCACTGAAACTAAAAGCGATAGCAACCAACGCATTGCAGATTATGAAAGATTGGAAAATTCTCTATCAGATAAATATATAAAATAATAATATTTCCAATAGTAAAAGGTTAAAAAACGTGACTAAAAGTGCTAAAAAGTGACATTTTTCAATTTTTGCCCATTTTCTTCAATCGCGAATATCTCGTAAACTAAAAGAGATAAATAAGATCTGATCGCAGCGTCTTAATCTACGGACTATGCTCTATAAGATAGGATAGTTAAAACGTAATTCTGAGAGATAAAATTTTTATTTTTAAGAAAAAAAATGTCAAGGGGGGGTGCTTGATACTTTTTTTCGACGATTTTCAAAAATTAATATCTCTGAAACTAAAAGCGGTAGCAACAAACGCATTGCAGATTATGAAAGATTGGAAAATTTTCTATCAGATAAAAATATAAAATAAAAATATATCCAATAGTAAAAGGTTAAAAAACGTGACTAAAAGTGCTAAAAAGTGACATTTTTCAATTTTTGCCCATTTTCTTCAATCGCGAATATCTCGTAAACTAAAAGAGATAAATAAGATCTGATCGCAGCGTCTTAATCTACGGACTATTTTCTATAAGATAGGAGAGTTAAAACGTTATTCTGAGAGATAAAACTTTTATTCTTAAGAAAAAAATGCCAAGGGGGTGCTTGATACTATTTTTCGACGATTTTCAAAAATTAATATCTCTGAAACTAAAAGCGATAGCAACCAACGCATTGCAGTTTATGAAAGATTGGGAAATTCTCTATCAGATAAATATATAAAATAATAATATATACAATTGCAAAAGGTTAAAAAACGTGACTAAAAGTGCTAAAAAGTGACACTTTTCAATTTTTGCACATTTTCTTCAATTGTGAATATCTCATAAACTAAAAGAGATAGAAAGGAACGAATCGCAAAGTCTTAATCTACGGAAAATCTACTATATAAAATTCTCTATAAAATAAGCTTGTTAAATTGGAAAGAGTCAGTTATACATTCATCCACTTCTACCGCTGCTCTTGTACGGTCCTGAACACGAGTCACTTCTACCGCTGCCCTTGTAAGGTGCCCTGAATTCGAGTCACTTCTACCGCAGCCCTAGGACGGTGCCCTGAACACGAGTAACTTCTATCGATACCCTGCTACGGTTAACCAAATAAGACTCAAGTACACAATTGCAATTAATTGCAATATAACTAAATAAACAAGGAAAAATCAACATTCATGACAAATTCGAGTCAATAAACGATAATAGTGCATATCTTTTTACCTTTACAACGGATGAAAACTTTGAAAGATTGAAAAATTCTACATTAGACAAGAATTTAAAATAGTTTAATTTCGTAAGATAAACGCACCAAAAACGTGACTAAACGTGCAATTTTTCTTTATTGGCCTTTTTTCGAATTGTGAATATCTCCCAATTCTGTCCGACCGTGCCGGTCGACTAATTTGTGTCACAGGTAGGTAGTACGTGATAAATAAAAAACTTGTTTAAAAACAGCTAATGTAAATTTGACCGAAAAATATAATTGAATTATAAACTTACCAGTGTACAGCTTATCGGACTGCCAGGTACAACGAGTGCTGTAACAAAACGAAAACATAAATTAAAACAAAAATATTTCTTACAATTGAATTATGTTATATTTAACAATCAACACAAAATATACAATCTGCGCTGTTTAGTTAAAAAATACTTACACGAGCCTGATGGATCTTTCTTAATGATGAGAATCAACATGGGGGCAATATATATCCGATTAATTCAGTAACCGACACAAAACACAACACCGAGAGAAGAATGTTATCAAATCCACTATCACGTGACTTGTAATATACATAACAAACGCGATCAAAAACCGGCATTTCCGAACATTAAACAAATTACTATAGTCGCAAATTACAAATATAGTATAATAGTCGATTGATCTTCGGGTATAACACAAATTTAGAATATTGAAGTCCGAATAAACGATATAAGTCTCTCAAAAGACAACTGGATTAATCAGCGACCGGCACGAAACTGGATGCAATCCACCGATAGTGCATGCCGAAACTGCGTTAACAACGACGGGACAGTATATGATAAGAAAGCAAGACGTGCGCAAAGCCAACGCGTCGATGGCACGCGACCTTGTTCGCGAATTTGCAATAGGCACATTACCTGTGATCTAAACTAAACTAGACTTTGCTGCATGCAGCAAGTTGAAGCAGCGCTAGGAGACAGCGCGCGGGACACATGCGTTAAAAACGTTGTTTACACCGAATCGCAGATAACAGCATCGTATACAAAACTATTCTCGTTCCCACGTTTGTCAATAAACATAAAAATAAGCCGTATAACTCGATTTTATGATTTTTAGTGCATCCTAGTGCCATCTATGAATGCAACAGATACTAGTCCAACAATTTAGACTATTATAATAACGGCATTGAAAGAAACTTTTAGAAAAATTTCCAGGAATGGAAAATAAATACATTAGGTTTGCATTGAACATATAATTAATACAGTTTATTCATCTAAATATGTCTTTGTTGTTATTTTTGGTTTCATCTTCACATATTTAAAACCTATCTACAACATAATCACAAACATTCAAATGATAACCATTCATAAACAAAGAAAAGTATAATTCAATTCTCATCTAGCTGGTATCCCAAGAAATTAAAAGTCATATAGATATATATTTTGTACATAGTCTCCATTTCATTACAATTCCAAAGGTCAAGTGCCAGAAGCTCATCTCTCATTCACACACACAATGATACAATGTCAAAAGCTTGTGTCTTTCGATAGGATATGACGTCACATTGATTACAGTGTTTTGAGTTCATTATATTTGACAAGTTAATAGTACATTCGAGATAATTGATAGTGAGATTTACTTGGCCTGCGAAATTGAGATTCACTGTGTAAATCAGTCTCATTTTGCTTCAACTCTTTGTCATCGATTGATACATTAGATTTTGTTTTGATAGATTTGATAGTTTCAGCCAACTGTCAAAAATACACCGGAAGTGATCATCTTCGGGCTGTAATTTGATGCTAGTCACTGAGATTAGTTGATAGTTGGTTGTTTACAATTATATAGACTTACAAGTAAGACTAGTACTCTGATTAATCAATAAATTCATTAATAATTACACCGATCTGGAAAAATAATACAAATAGATATCTTTTTGTGCCTCTCAGCTCATTTCACTGTTAGAAAAATACATCTTCCACTTCTACTCTAGAATAAACTCTGTCAAATCTCATAAAATCTGTGTTTTGAAGTTAAAAATTGATAAAATTTCCGATTACTCAACAAATATAGTTTTGACCAATTTTGAAATAAACTTTGTTGGGTGTTTTGAAGTGATATTAGTTGGATTGGTCGTTTCTTCGATTGTTTACAAGCTGGACGCGTCTTCAGGGACGTTGAGGAAGTTGTGATTCGACGCCCAGGACGTGTATGGAGGACCCTCCCTCCAGCAGAATCGTTTGTTTAATGGTTTACCTTCATCCACGTAATACATAATGTAGAAATTGCACATTTCGTCTTTGTTTGTTGGCCTAAAATTTAAAATAAAAAGTTTTACGTTTACATTCACTTCCGGTTGTACTTACCCAACACGGGTATCGGTGTCCCTGTCACTCTCCATCGTACACCTGGCTACCATAATGTCGCCCTTTAGGATAGGAGTCGTCGTATTTGTAGGATAAAACATTTGTGGCGTCAGCGGGTCACGTTTGCCTATGAGCGACCATTGTTCGCCGTTTTCATCTTGGCGCACTCGGTATCCGCTCACAACTTTACCCAGCGTGTGCGTGTGAGTCCTATAGGCGAATGGATAAATAATTTTATCTTCTTCAATCGTGCAGTCGGATTCCATGTAGGTAACACGGTGAGCGGGAATTGTTCCGCCACTGGCCAAAAGAAGAACTCCAGCTAACTTTGGTTGTCTAAAATTTAAACGTAGAATTAGTGTGAAACATGTCTCACTTTCCCAATGTGATTAATTTGTAATAATTTGTTTTACTTACGGCGTTTCGGTGTAGATAAGATTAACTCCGGAACTATCGATTACATCCTCGGGGAATTTGTGTGCATAGTGGAGCTGAAGAACAAGGTAAGCAATTTCTGTATTCGCTCCAATTTGGAAGCCAACATCCTCTGGAAGACTCAATGCTTCGGCGTTTCTCGCCCATGCGTACAAAACCTAAAAGATAATATTGTAATTGATTTAATTAAGAATTTATTGGTATTAACTTACATGTGAGCCTTGTCTGCATGGGTTTCCAGTTCTCAAGTTACTGCTGTGCGTTGGTCCAGCCATTTCACCACAGTCCCTATTAATTTTTTGCGTTAATAAGTTTTGTTTAAAATAAGAAATCAATATTTTCTTACCAGTAAGGTTCATGTGTGCCTGGTTCTGAACAGCCAAACAAAATCATATGGTGCACGCGATTCATGGTTGCGTTCGGTTCAAATCCCACTAAAACATTTAATTATGACAATTAGTATTGCAATTTAACACAATTATAGCTGAATTTTTTTATACCTATGTAGAAACTTTTGTCTTGTACAATTTTCACTGGTGTGCATAGATATAATTCCTCCTAGAACATAATATTAATTTATTAATAATTACATTCACTAATTATTACTAAATTATTAAAAAAAGTTTGAAAACTGTTGAATTACTTAAATATTGTGTATACATGGTTGCCTATATTAAACTTACGATTTCAAGTAAAAATACAAACAAAAAGTAAGTTACTAATCTAAATTATTGTGATAAGCTTAAATATAATAAACAATACAATAAAACAATATAAATGCGCCATGTGCATGATTAATCAAGTTATAAACAATTAAGCATTAGGCACAAAACCAATCAATAATAGAATAGTTCTAATTCGTACTTTAAACAATAAACATTCCATTAAAAGAAGTATTATATTAGCTTGTTAATATCTGCGCCACATCAAGTTTCTAAATGTCGCAAATTGTTGAAATATCGCCACTATTTACGCGATGAAAATTGAAATTTTTGCACCGCATAACATAGAAATATATGAAACAACACTGTTTATGACGTTGAGGCCATTCTCGGTCGTTTCCATTGTGGTAATTTTGTAAAACAATGCAAACTCTAATTCATAACGGTAATTAATTAATTTCACAACATGTTGTAATCTTTTTTTGAATCAAAATCTCCTTCGGGAACATTCTTAAGTAAATAAAAATAATATCATATATTAAATTATATATCTGTTAATATTTAAGGTACATATTTGCGGTTAAGGAACTTTGTAAATATCAATTTATGTAATGCTGTGTTGACATGTTGTCAACCAAGTACGTAACCTCAACAATACGCTATTTTTATTTGTAATTTTCAATCAAAATCATGGATCGTTAAAATAAAGATATAAACAAACTTGAACGTAATTTTGTTGTGCAATTATTTATAATCAGTTTTATACGAATTATGAGTCATTTGTTAGGATTTTATGGCTTTTGGATGCTGACGTTCACAGACATCCATATGGCACGTATTTTCCGCATTATAGGTTTAATTTAAATCTTCCATACATAGTTGAATCAAGGTTTAAAATAAAGTTTAAAGTTCAAAATATAAAAATTTATAAAATTATTTAAAAGTCACATAAAATTTATTTAAAACAACGCACAAAATGAAAAATAAGCTGCAATATTTTTTGTTATTTACCATGCATGCCGCACAACATGAGGCACTCACAGTCACGCTCGTGCTCATCATGCTAACAATGTTCAACAACCAAAGAGTGAAATAAAGGTCAAACGCCTACAGCCTTCGCATGCTCAATAATTCCCACACCACTATTTCCAGATTTATTTGCACTAACAAAACAAAAGCACAAAATGAATGAACAAAAGTACTTACCCGAAACGGATTGATGTGCGGCATGAAGACCGCGAATTTCTTCACGTCGTACGCGTCCGCCTCGCGCAGCAAAAGCGCGGCGGCGATGAGGACGGCGACGATGCACAGATGGTGCGCCTCCATGCTGGCGGCGACGACTACACTGCTAGCTGGTGCTGGTTGGCGGCGGCGGGCGTACTGCCGCCTCCGACGGCGTGTGTGGGCTGTCGCGTATCGATCGCGCGAAAGACCAGACGTCACGACGCGCTCGCGATGCGCACTAATCTGCGGGCTGCCGGTGAAGCAAACTCAACGCAAGGCAGGACAGGTATAAACAGGTAACCAGCTTACTAATACAGCCACACAAGATTAAATACAAGTAGAAAGTGTGTGTGTTGCAGCGGATGGTGGTAATGGTAGACGCAACTTTCGTTTGTCCCCTCTAACATCCAGCACCGCAAACTGTTGCTTCGCAATTAAACAATCGTGACAATCTCCGCAATTTATTTATATTCGCATTAACTAAGCAATCAATTCGGAGATCTGAAACACGCGCTTTTCATTTGTTTGCATATTATTACGCCATATTTTCATAATTCTATTCAAATTTTAGATAATATTGTTTTAGTAAGTACTTTAATTACAATGTCGTAATTCCATGGCGAATTACATGTTCTTTTTTTTTGTTTTGAAAAGTTAATACAATAAGTAGTGATAATAATGCGTTATAAGGCCGTCAAGTAATATGCAAATCATGTTCTATCTGCATTATTTGAATATTGATGTGGTTCAGGCTGCAGATAAAATGGACGCTTTTATGGCAGTGAACGACCAAAATAACTTGCTATCAGTTTTTTTTTTATTGTCGCTTCTGATGCAAAAACGCGAGTTTAAGCGTTCGTGGGCAATATAAATGTTGAAATAAATCGTATACCTTAATTGTTGTTACATTTGATTGCATAAATACAATGAACTATAAAAAATTTAGGAAAATTTTAATATTTTATCTCGTTCAATGTTTCATATGCGCGTTTAATGCGTCAATAACTTAGATAACCGACATTACATTTTACAATGCATATTATATATCATTGTAAACAAAATTCATGACATTCTAAATAAATACCATAAACTTCAACTATTTTGATTTCGATGAAATGCTAATAAGTGCAGAAAAATTAAATTAAATCATTATAACTTTTAAATTAACAAATATCTTGCAGATAACTATGTAATTTCATCATAACCTCAATAATATCCTTTAACTTTATATAAACTTCAACATATTTATGTAATAAATTGCTAGTCATCCCAATCTTCTTCCTCCGCAGATGATTTATCACTCTGCGTTGCTGGAGGTGGCGGAATCATCTCCGAAATCTTATCCATCGCAGTCGGATTTTCGGGTTTATTACCAGAAATTCCTTTACGACGCATTGATAATTTTGCGTGTAGATCCGCCATTAAGTCACCGGTCTAAAAATATAACCAAGTTTTAGTTTTTCATATTTACAACACTCATTCGTACAACATTGAGTAACTTACAGGTTCAGGTTGCTTTTTATTCTGAGCAGGACTTTCTTCTTTGTGTTTCAAACTCTTTGAACCGCCTGCATTTCGAATCGCGTCCATTAAACTAGCCCTTGCATTATCTCCTGCAATCGGTGGCATGGATTTAGGCTTAGATGTTTCTGATTTCGTTTCTTCTTTTTTAACATTTGATTCTTTATTTACAACATTCTGTTTAACAGTTTTAACTTCTTGACCTGTTGTGGTTGCTGCAGAAGGCACAGAAACTACAGTTTGTGTATTATCAACTGCTGGTGCTGTATTAGTAACTACTTTGTTATCATTTTTTTCAATTTCTGCATGAGTTTGCAAATTTTGATGTTTTTCTTCAGTGTTATCTTCAATTTCAGGCAGATCAGGAATAGTATTCCCTAAATGCAAGTTCATAACAGAGACTGAAGGTGCAATATTTGGTTCCTGTTCAATTGTATACCGTAAATCATCAGCGATGCCCGGTAAATCAGGCAAATCAAGCGGTACATCAATAGTTGGTACATTACCCAGATGAGGTGAGTAGAAATAATTCTCGCCTTGGATTTTTTGCATGCCCAAACCTTGTCCCTGTGACATAGAAAACGGCGCTGCGCCAATATCAACTTCAGAATCATCTCTTCCTTTTCTGTTGGTATTTAACAAGCTATTATTAGATCTATCAAGACTTTTCTCTTTATCATATGCATTCCTGCCAGTATTAAAGAGTAGTATGTCATTGATTGTCTCTAGATCACTCGGTAGCTCTCCCAAACCTTGAATGCTTTGTGTTGAAGATTTCTCAGCTTTTGCTTTCACTTTAACATAATAAAACTGTAAAGCTTCCAGATTTTCATCACCAACTTGTGATGATTTGTACTCATAGTCAAACTTTTTGATTGGCAGTACTTGTTTCTGGTCAAAGATTGATTTGTATTGCCTGTTGATGTTTTCAGCTGGGTATTTACTGCTCGAGAACACTTGTGTTGCTTTTTTAGCACCAGCAAGTTTGTTTAATTTCGTGCTGGCTGTTGCTATTCGATCAGAAATATTTGTCACCTGAGTTTTGTTTGCAGCTATTCGAGAGTCTATTCTTTTGAAGATATCAGTGGATACATCAGAGAGATATTGCAGGGCTTCTGCTATCTGGATGATTGTCTCTTCTCGTCGGAGATTGTGTGGAATAATTGGAACTTCATATTTTGGTTGCATCTTATTTAACTGAAATAATTTTCTTGGTAGTTTAAAAGGATTAATGGTTGAAAATGTGTATATTTTCGTTTAGAAAACAAAATCAGCTGATTTCAGCGGCGGAACCAACAATGATTAACAGATGCAGGTTATATGTACAAGTTCGTGTGCGTCGTTTCGCCGCAAGTCGTTTGTTTCACTGCGGTTTACATTTATTGCGCGTTTATTCACAGCAACAAAAACAAACAGGAGGCTCATGTTTAATTGAGATTATATAATGCTTATTAAAATCATTAAAATCAACCTATTTATAACAAATCGTTGATGTGGATAACTATTTTGAACCTTTAAAGGAAAGCAGGGATATCAAGGTTCCTTGCTAGTATTGATATTATGATCTATTTCCTATAGCTCCTGAACTAATATACTTTCTTCCAATTTCTCAGCGCCGTAATGTAGAATAAGAGGCCCTTTTTACGATGCATTTCATTTTAATTCCGGAGACCCTTTGAAAGTGCTCTGAAATAGTCTTCAAAAGTGGACAATTAATGAAAATTTGAAAACATGATGTGGAAAATGCGCTGTATCTTCCAAACTAAAATATTTTCTGCCATGTGCTTAACGCCATATTATAGTCTAGAAAATCTATTTATGATGGATTTTATTTGAACCCCATAGACCCCTTGGAAGTGCCCTAAAATGCTTTTCAAAAGTTGGCAATTTTATCAAAATTTGAAAACATGGTGTGGAAAACGCTCTGTATCTCTTGAACTAATCTACTTTCTCCCACTTTCTCAGCGCTAAGTTATAGTACAAGAGACCCATCTTACGATACATTTTATTTCAACCCCCTAGACTCATTAGAAGTGCCTTAAACTGCCTTTCAAAAGTTGACAATTTTCTCAAAATTTCAAAACATGCTGTGGAAAATACCTAATATCTCTTGAACCAATTGATTTTCCTGAAGTTTCTTGCCGTCAAATAATAGATAAATAGTTCATCTATACGTTGCTTACCCTTTGAACCGTCTAACCCTTCCGGAAGTGTTCTAAAATGCGGTTTAAAAATAGTTTCGTATTTCCTCGACCAAATTTTGTTGAGAAATCCGATGAAATTTATACACAAAATCTTTTGAATATTAGGATCGCAGAATGTGCAAGTAGGCTGCTGAATTAATAATGAAACTTATTGTAACACCCAGTGGCGGAGTAATTTATTTACTCATAAACAGATGGCAGCGATGGCAATATTTAAATAAATTTTGTTGCAATATAAAATTGAAAATTGATTTTTAATAAATAAGGGACATATTCTTTGTATATATTTGTTAATTGGGTATTTTTAGGCAACTGCCGTAGCATGGTTAATAACTGTGCATTCCTGCAATCGTAAAACACTTTAAAATCAATTTTTAATTTAATATTTACCATAATTTATTTAAATATTGACACCGCTGCCATCTGTTTATGAATAAATAAATTACTCCGCCACTGGGTGTTACAATAAGATTCATTATTAATTCAGCAGCCTACTCGCACATTCTGCGATCCTAATATTCAAAAGATTTTGTGTATGAATTTCATCGGATTTCTCGACAAAATTTGATCGAGGAAATACGAAAATTGAGGTGCTCATCAGTTCGTGATATTAGGAACGCAGAAAGTGGACATAGACAATTCCCGCCAGAGTTTTGTTGGATTTCCATGAGTTATTATGATTAATACGGCCTATGTCGTTAATGTTAGGAAGATAATTACTAATTACTTAAATAGTCGATATAGAATTAAATTAGCTTGTAGAATCCGAAAACAGAATATAACATTGACCGTTTAGGCCCTATTTGCCATTTTAATTCAAAAATTGTTGATTACTTGCCAATAGGGCCTTAATCTAATATATAATTGTTTTACTGAATTTTTCTGATCGAAGCCTCCACCAAGGAATAATTAAATGAGTTAATGATAATTATCTCGAGAACTAAAAGGGCTAGAAGAAAATAAACTTCATATTCTTGATCCTTGAAGAATTCTCTATAAGATGGCATCCTTATTGAAAAACGACCAAATTGGTATAAAAAAATTAAAGAAAAGATTTTATTTAAAAAATGGCAAAAGATTTCTCTTTTTTATGTCGATTGCAGTTTTCATTAAAATTTGCAAATAGAGCCTAAACGGTTAATGTTAACAAAAAAAGTAACTAAAATAATCGATGTAAAATTAAATTGTCTATCAGAATCTGAAAACAAAATAAAAAAATCCAAGTTTTAATTGCTCTCTCACACACACCTACACTCTGCTCATGTCAACGAATGAGTGCATGTGTGTGTGTACACGTTCAATTTCGGGGTCGAAACTAATGGTAAAATCGGCTTGTGTCATCCGGATCGCAGAAAGTTGAGGAGGCTGAAAACTTTCGCGGGTACTTCGACCAAATTTAAATTGCACATTCTCTCACCCCTTCTCTTTCACTCTCCTTTTCTCCACTAGATGTCTGTAAAGTACAATATTATCCTGAAATATTCAAAATGGTTGCAGAATGTTCATTAAGGAAATTAAAACAATTCGTAGGATATTTTCTTGATACTTTATTTTAGAAAATCAATTAAAAAATACAATTTTTCGATAGCTACGACCTAAGGCGCTTATAATTTATATTGCGAATGTTTCTTTTAATCAATCAACGCACTTCCTGCGTTGCTAACCTAATAGTTGGCAGACGAATGGGCATGCAAATAGAGAGCTGTCGGTCTACGCATATTCTACACGTCAGCACTTCCGTACGTATTAACATTTTGTGTTGTGTTGTGTCTCTTAACAAACTATGACGATTATCATTCAGTCGGGGGGCCCCAAAATAACTCGATACAACAGTGCCGTAAGTTTAACATTGACTTCCGCCGATGGTGTTTGGCCGCCATGTCAAGTGTTAATTTTACAATAGATCAGGTACTTCATTTTCGATTCAGTTTCGCTCACATTGGAAGAAAACGATGACATTACGTTTTGGGGGAATGTACTAGTATGAATGGCTGGACGAGATGCATTTGTGTGACACGTTACTCTAATTACGTTAATATTTAAACTCTCTTTCTCTATATATATAAAATATATAACTAATATATATGGCATGATGATTCTTAATTCTCTTTGATTATGTACAACACGACAATGGATACTTCGACAGGCGCGCGCGTCTCAATTCACTTCATTTTTGTTTTATGTCGACGCCATCTAACAACGAATATAAGTGTTAATAACTTCAACATTCTATAACCTATAAAACTAGCAATTTTTCTCCATCAAAAAAATTAATTTACAATTCCACATAATCGGATCCGACCATCATTGTCCGAGATCAATCGACACTATTCAGCGCCATCATATTTCCCTCACTTTTTCTACAAAGTGATTAAAATTTACAAGATGGCGCACGACGACATGACACTTTTTTGTTTTGTATGTTTCACATTGAATGCTAGCTATAATATATCAATATGTATATATGTAAATATGCAAAAAATATATATGTTTCGTGTATTCGCTTTCGGTCGATCACAAGTACTTCCGGTTTGGCGCATTTCACAAATGCGCGTACGTCATAACGATAAGCTATAAAAATAAAATCAATAAAAAACAAGTTGGCAACAAATGACCTGCGATCGATCGAATTCCATGTTTCTTACGCCCTCACCGCCCCCCTAACTTAATTTGGGTCGCATGATGGGGCGGTGGGCTAATATCCAATAGTGTAAAATATAAAAACGATTCTCTTCGTTAGAGGACAACGCACAGCAAGCGATAATAAAATATATGAGCGTGTGTGTCGCGAGATTTAAAACGAAAAACAAATCACATCTGAGCGGCGGCGGAGGCCGTGGCGTGTCAGAGCTCGACGAAGGTAATATCGTAGAGGTCCTCGTCGACGGCCTTCAGCTCCAGCAGGAACAGGTCCTCGTTGCAGTAGTACGCCAGCATGTCGTCATCAATCTTGGCCGTTATGCTAAAAATGAAATAATTTGTATTTTAATGCATGTTTTAGGTTATAAATTGTAGAAATATTAAAAAAAAAAAAACGCTAAAATAATGATTTTTAGGTTATGATAATTGTTTCTGTTGTGTTTTGTTTTTTACTGGTTTATTAATTAATTGGTTAATCACACTTACCCTTTTTTGTTTTTGCGATACAAGTTATTTATGTTCGAAGCAGAAATTTTGTACTTATTCTCAATCTGCAAAATAAGGAAAACAGAATTAATTGTTTTCGCTTTTGTTCTTAATCAAAATTTTTCGATTTTTAAGAAGAAGAATATTCTGATTTCTTGATTTTAGCATAGATTTAGAAGAAGTACTGAGCTTTTGTTTCGTGATATTTTCAGTTTCTATTTTCGTGATTTGTGATTTTGTTATTGCGACTTATTAATTAATTATTATCTGATTAATTCGTTTAATATTCGCTCGCGACATGCGATTGGTGTGCGTTTGTGTTCGTAAGTTCTTAAACGAGTTTTAGTGTGTTTACAACATTTTATAATAATAAATAAATAAATAATAAATAAATAAATAAAAGCCCAGTACATCCATGCAATCATACACACACATAAATAAAATCAATGTAAGCGGATTTAAAAGCGTGTCCAAAGCAATGATATGCTCGTCCATGGTTGATATAATTGAGGTTATGTTTTAAGGTTAGGAAATACTCACGGCATTGAGCAGGCCAACAGTCGTTGGTGGGACGACGTGCAGTGGCGTATAGACATCATCGGACTCCTGACGCACGTACAGCATGACACGTTCATTGAGCGGCGGTTGCGGCGGGGGTGGCGCAACCAATGACGGGGCATTGTTGTTGGACGCCGCCGCAAGCATTTTGGCACGTTTGAGAGGCGGCGCAAACACGTTACCATCAGTATTTAACGCGTCTAACAACCCGTCCTTTTTATCAGCATCAGGTGGGAAGTGATTGTGGAACTTGAGTGTAGGCGTTACCGGTGGTTTAGCCGCCGTGTGGAGCAGGAATGGGGAGGCGGCTTTCACATGCTCGGTGTGCACCGTACCACCTAGAGCGCCATCTGTGTCGTGACCATAAAAACCTTGCAGTTCCATTGATGTTAACTAAACATAAAACACAAAATGTAAATTTTACACTTTTTTATGTTATTATTTACTTTTAATTAATATTTACCTTATCAATGTCTTCAGCAGGAGAAAAGAATACAGGAGGTTTAGCTAAATCGCTCATACCGTAAAACTCTGAACGTTCACACACGGGATGGTAGAGTTCATCCAACTTCTTGCGACCGGTTGCAGTCATCTTACGTTTGGCGGCGCGGCGTTCTTCATCTCTCGTTTTACGCTCAGCTCCCTAAGTAAATAGATTTTAAATTAGGTTATGTTGTACAAGTGATTTGGGTTGCATACCTTATCACAAAACACTTTAATTTGGCAATAACCACGATCAGCGATGGTGGAATCCCTGGGATCTTCGTACGTATCAATTTGAAGGTGCAATGGCAATCCTTTAACGCCCTTTTGGCTACTAAAGTCTGTGCTTAGGCATTGTACGGCAATATTAATCTGTAAAATAATTTTTAATCGTAAAAAACGCTCAGAATAATAATTTGTGTATAAATGGTTGCCTATCATCTACATACCTTAGCAGCGCTCTCTAGCGGATTCCAATACACTGCAATGGCGTTATGTGCCACTTCTTCAATGCAACCAACCAAGCCAACACTGTTTTTCGTGTCTAAAATAAAAACATTCAATGAAAACATGGCTAACAACACTCGTGACTAAAGTAACATAACTACATAAATAGTTAGCGTTACCATAGCAACAAATAACAACGGAATACAAAAATGAATGAATTAGCGTGTGAAGCTGCGAACAAATTGAAAACAAATTGTTATGACAAAACGTTTGTTAGCTCCGAATGGTCACGATAAATAAGAATGCAATTACGTAGCGGACAAATTACGACGCCATTATCGCCTGCCATTGACATCGTGTCGCTGCGGCGCATGCGCAGTTATCGTAAATTCGCCGCGGACGACCGCAACAAAAACAGTTAATTATTTACACGCAGAAATGTCCGAACGTAAATGACTTTGTATTTCGTACACGGCGCGCGCGTGGGCGTTCGCATCTAATAAATTACGTGACCTTTGCTTACGCAAACACGCTTTACGCACAAGTTTATATATTCGCAGCGCTTTGTTCGTTTTTTCATAATTCAACGCTAAATTACGCGCGACGCGGTCAATATTTGCACACAAATTTGTACAAATTGGCGTTTATCGAGGCGGCAGTGGACAAGATGGCCGTGCGTGGTGGCGGCCATCTTGTGCGCTGTTTATTTGACACGCAGAATGGGGGAATTATGCGTTTTATACACACCTGCGTCCAAGATTCGCTGCTTCACGGAGTGCTGCCGTCCGTGCCAGAATTGCCAGGCTTTGATTTCGTCTTCGGGGGATTTTTCTTCACGGAACATCAGCATCACAATACTCTGAAATAAAAAAAAACAAAAAATATTTTAAAATGCTAATTTCAGTTTATTTTCGTGTTTGTGATTAACATCAGAGGTTTTGTTCTAATTATATTGTATTTTATTTGTTAGTTTGGTTTTTTCTGATCGCCATATTGGAAAAGACGGCAGCGCAAAGTGTTTAATTAAATTATGTATCGGTCGTATCTCCGTAACGATCGGCAGCGCGCCCGGAGAATATGTATCATTATATTTATTTATGCGCGCCATTTAATGGTCGCGTAATTGGCGTAAAAATATTGATTTTCATACGAAATTGCATCATCATGGCCGAAGCACACGGGACCGCATGATGCGAATTGCGTTTCGTATAATTGGTTGAATAAATCTCATTAGAGGCTGCGTCGGCAGCGCTTTTTCAATGAAATAATGAGAGCGTCCGGTTGGCGTGTGCGTGCGTGCAGACCTCTGCAGAGCGCTCTGCTGGTGGGGTTTTTTGCCGAAAAAACGCCCATTATGCGTCTGCTGCGTCTGCACGCCCGATATGGTAAGACCGGGTTTGCCATCACTCGCGGGTTGTTGTCAGCGCGCGCGCGTGTGACAAATATGTAGCAGAATTTAATCACGTTCGGTGGCGTTTTCCAGTGAACGCGCGCGAGCGCTAATTACGCGCAATTAATTGCCCGGGCCCCGGTCGGTGTGCACCTCTTCGATTAATTGTCATCGACGTCTTGGGTTGTTGTTAATTTTAATGCGCTTAATTCTCTCACCTTGACCGTTTGCGACTTGAGCGGCTTGTCAGCATCAGGCACGTACTCCAGCGTGATGCCGTAGAACTGGCCCTTGTTGATGTATGTGATCCGGTCGTCCTCCCTTCGCTGCGACGTCGAGATCGGCGTCTCCAAATTGTATTTGAAGCCAACTGGTGAAAATCTACACATACCAATAAAAAAACACATTATTTTCATAAAACCAATAAAATTTTATAAAAAAAAAACTTACACTTTCGGTATTTGTATCTTATCCGCGTCATTTTGACGACCAAAATCATGCCATGGTCGACTGCGGGTACTAGCTTGTGATCCAGGTGATTGCGAAGGATTGCTCCTTGGTCCCATCGCCAGTGGGTCCAATAAACCAGAATTATTCTGACATAATTCAGTATAATCAAAAGACTGTAAATTAAATTCATTTACTTTCCTATATAAACCCACTTATAAATAAAACACCTACCTGTTGCATATTATTCTGATCCCTTGGCGTGATCGCATCCGCACCGATCCCACTATCAGGACTAGGCAAATCCACAGTAAGTCCCGCGGCCGTTGCAGCAGCAATAACACCTTTCCCATGATAAGCGCTGGATTGCCGAACATACCTCTCAACAAAACTAGCAGTAGTACCACCTCCAGCAGTTGATTCATCACCGTAAGCCACTTGACTCTGTCTTAACTGTGTGGAGTACACGGGTTCAGGTGTACCAGCTCCGGAAGCCACTGTTGTGAAATACTCCCGGTAATAAGGTTCCGAAACAGAGAAACCAGTAGCACTACCGGAGCGTACCACATTGGTCGCGTAACCACCTCCTACACCAGCCTGGACGTATTGACCCACGTGGTCAGTGGTGTATGGAATGGGTGAGGGTGTGCCACTGCCGCCGCCGTGCGGATTGCCCATCGATGTAAAGATCTGCGTGCTGTACATTGCGGGTTTGAGGCCATCCGTGGAGATGAATTCGATGTTACCCGCGTTGTTGGAACCATCCGCAAGCAAACTGCTGTGAGTGGAGGTGGGTGTGCCGTTCACTGATCGGGAACCGTGCTGGGGTGAGTTTAGACCACGATTGTGTTCGTCTTTAATGGAATTTACATCTACGATAAGGTCGCCGGAATTGTGGCTGCCCGATGCAACAAGGACCACCTGGATAAAAGGTTTCACATTTCACTTTTTGCACTTTTTTCAATCACACTCTGTAGAAAACACGAATTGGTATGACCTGAACCTACCTTATGACGTTGTTGTGGTCTGCTGACAATGATGGACCCGTCGAGGCTGGGGGATCCGTTGTCCACCAAGCGACGATGATGGCTTAGGTCCTCGGGTTCACGTTTGACGACCTGGAGCGGCTGCTGGGTGCCGGCGAGGGTGGTCGTCTGCTGCGGCTGGTGCGGCGCGTAGCCGACGTGCGGCTGGCTGACGAATAACCCTTGGATGTCCTGCGAGCCAAGGTGCCCGGCGCCGCTCAGAGGTGGGGTTAGCTCAATGCCCGTCCCACTTACCAATCCGTTGGCGTTCTTCAGTTGCGAGGATAATATACCGCCAGATTGTGAGGTCCTATGAGAGGGAAAAAGACAAAAAAACACGTGGATTAAACAAGGGATGAAAAAATTCATCAACATCAATAATAATAAGAGCAATAAACATGAAACATTTTCTTAAAAATTTAACTCCCACCATAAAACTTGGTAAACTCTAAAATCACATCACGCTCAATTTGACTGTTACAAAAAGCTCTCTCCCCACCCAAGGAGTAACTTGGATGAATACCCCGTTAAACGACATGTATATATAAGAATGTCATCACTCATCCTTAGACCCATTGTCTGCCATCCCATCTCAACCCCATCGGAGTACCGTTTTGCATAAAACATACAAATTTACTGTTTTGTTTTCACAGTGCGCCCCGGGCACACCATGAGAGTATTGCACATTTGCATAAAAAGGAAGGAAAGAAGGTAGGCATCCGATCACAGTTCGCATCTTCCGCAAATTCAACCCTCTCGGCATGTTCCGACACCGAGCGACACGCTCAACAAGTAGGGTGCGTGTTCAAACACACACTTGAGATATTTTTGAATAAAACGGCTGAAATTCGATACGAAAGGTGACAAACCACTGAGAAAGTGTAATCAAATTTATCAGGTTGCTATGGTAACGTAAATAAATTGTTTAGCAACCATAGCAACATGATGAGAATCTTTTTGGATTTCCCAGCTGTGAATTTAATTTATTTATAACTTACCACAGCACCCCGAGGCCGGGTTGTTACAATCGGCATCACGTTACAAGATTCCAGCGATAAGCATTTTAATAAGACGGATTAAAGTTACACAAACCGTTATTATTCCCGCCGGTAGCCCATGGGCTTACAAGTAAAATAAACACACCGAGCATTACGCCACTTTGAATAATTTCGATTTACTTCCGTCGATAAGTACAATTGTAATTGCAAAGATTTATCTCTACCGACAGGGATGAATCTGTTTTGAATACCATACCATGGGAGTGAGTGCGGATAGATTTAGGTAGAAGCTGAGATTTTCTTCATCCGTATGTGAAATGGAGCGAAAGGGGCTGCGAGGCGCGATCTGCCAACTCAAGGTATTCGCCCAGATAAATCAAAAGCTTTAAAAGTCGCTGCGGAAAACATACACACATATGGTGAGGCGCACAATGGCACACGAAATTATGCAGGTTCGAAGGGACGATTTTTATTTTAATATAATCCTATTGTGCGCAGTAATATATAGCCCGGCTATAAATTTCATTTTGTTTTTTTTTGCGCGCACAGAAGAAGAAAAATTTACATCTTCGTAGCGGAATCGGAATTATTGATCCTAACTTACGTCCACATGTCAAGCTTATCTTTCTCCACGTTCTGTGAAGTGAGCGGTAGCTTGTAATACTCATAGATCAGTCCCATGGGAGCAGCTTGGTCCACATCGCCGCCCCCAATGTTGAGCATAGCAGAAGTGGCGGCTGTTAATGGATGCTCATAATATTTTGACCATGATTGTTGTTGTTGTTGTTGCTGTTGTTGTTGGTGGAGGTGTTGTTGATGATGGTGGTCGTCGCCTGCGTCAGGCGAGAGCTCGGCCATGCCGCCGCGAGCCGGCTCGCCCCAGAGCGGCGACGCCGCCCCCGTACCTTCGCTACCCTCCAAGCCGGCGCGACGATACTTTCTAGAACAATCCAAACACATTGCGACATTGCCATCAAGAGAACACGCAGTGGAAAATTTTCATTCGACGCACGCATTTGGGATCGAATCGAGCATCGCGAGTGAAACCATCAATGGAACGACCAACGACGGCGCTCAGTGGTCAAACCCGTTTTAGCTTCCATTCATTGAGCGAGTTTTTGATCGCTTCGAAAGCTATTACACAAAATACAGATTTTAGAAATCTAAATCTACACCTGGGGTTGTAAAAACCCTGTTATCCCATGAGATTTAAAAAACTATCCATCTTGAAATTTTAAATTTACCCTTTCGGGTTGATGTCATCATCATCTTGATACTTTAGCTAATGGTTTTATATTTTTTGTCCACCGGGTGAGCAAAAGTCACGTCGAAATCATTAATTTCGATGTGAAATTTTTCCTCCGACGGCGAAACGGATTTTGTGTGCTTTGGTCCCGGCGCCGTAACCAAACTCAGAAGTGGGGAGACGACATTTGATAAATCACAACCATTAATTGCGTCGTTCGCAGCAGAGATAAGCGCTTACCCAAGGTAAGTCATTAATACAAGTACCTGAAGAAAACTTCGTTAACTCCAAGACTTAAAACTAACAAAAAATAAATAAAAATAAAAATAAAAGCTTAAAACATTTCGCATTCCGAGCGAATTGTTTTCTCAACTACCGGCCACACCTTTTATTAATGTCGTCCGAGTTGGTGTCGGGCGATTCGAGCGCGATAAACAAGAATCTAGAAACGGATTTCTCTCAAAAATCATTTGCGTTGTAGCCAAAGCTAATCAAACAGCATTTATTGATACAACCACTGACGCAGGACACAAATCAAATACGCTTTGCGAAAATAGACATGGCTCGTAAAACCTATCAACAAATGGAAACATTTTCCGAGGCGATTTTTTTGTTCCATCGGCGGCCAAACAAAAAATTACGTAAGTCAGAGCCACGCGGCTCACGGATTGGTCGATGAGCACGATGGGTATACGTAGCCTTTGACCAGCGACTGGTCCAGCAAACATAAAACACACACACGCCGTGGACACCTGTACGAAGTTAGTTAAGAACGACGTAAATATCTGATGAATATGGAATTTATTTGAAAAACGCGCGCCGCGACAGCAAATTAACATTCAAATTCATTCCGGGGCTGTCGTTGGGCGATAAATTTTATTTTCGCGTGACATTTAATAAATTTAAACCTAAAATTATAAAAAGATTATAATGTAGGGCATAAAATGTTTTTTTGTTGTAATTAATGAGCTGATAATTATTATTTTTATAAAATTGATTAAAATGTTAATTTTTTATTTTAATAAATTTAATAAGGTTATGTACGTATCAAGAAACCGTTTTTGTGTCAGCGCGCGTGTGCAATATTGCATTATCTTTATTTTTATTCACCGATGCGCTCTATCACCTCCAAATATTATGCCCAACGACATGAAATCGAACCCTTTTGAGGGTTTAAGGTGCAACGGATGCTGAGAGTGCATCCCAAAAAAAGGTGCCGCTTTGTGATTGTCCTCTCACCCCAATGAAGATCAACCATACTCATCAGCATGCAGCTAGTTGAAGTTAGACACCTCACCAAAATGCATTATGTGCACGTCAAGACACATCATCAAGTTTTGATTCTTATTATTCCATAAGATAGCTACCGATACTTATATTGTTTGATAAAATAATTTTTTTTATTTTTTCGATTGATTTTTGAAATATGGTGAATGCCATAAACAAATTATTTATTTATCGCGCTTAGACAACAGATAGGAACTAAAAATAAAAAAGTAAATGTCAAGTTTGCCTCATTAGCACATTATTAAAACAACATGTTTCTGTTGCTAAGCTAAAGATATTTTTGTTTGTTTTTATGTATATCTGGTTGCCTATCTTAAAAATTAAAAAATATTATGTGAGGTTATGTAGTTTGATAAATGATGGCGCGTCGTGTTGTCGCCATTGGAATCGTTAAGAACCGCATATCTTCGCCATTTTTATCAGCGTTTTCATTAGAAACGCGTTTTCTATTTTTTTTTTCTAGTTAGAATTGTGGTAAATTGTACGAGTTCCTCGAAACTTGGACTTAAGTTAAGTCAGTTTAATTCGATTCGATTCAAGTCTGCAGCGCTTAAAACTGTATCTTACACACGGATTGTCGTCTCGCATAGAAATTTCTTTAAATCTTTGTTGGAAAAAAATGTGAAAGCTGGCCGTCGGACGATAAGGCGCGATAGTCGCGATATAATCGATCGATTATCGCCCGTCCCGGCGTGCTCGGCCATTAGCGATATAGTTTCCCTTTACGCGACGATTTTGCCAATTGCGTCAAATGACATGAATGTCTCTCGTAGAGAAAACGCACGCGCGGATGGGCTCGTGCCCCGTCCACTTCGGTTTTGGACGCAATTAATTACCAATTAGCGATTGTTCGATGCTTAATCGACTTGAATTACTATGCGACTGAAAAGTGCAAATTTTATGAAAGTCTTACACATGTGACTATAGGTTAGAAAACTCGCTGATAGTTTCCGTTCGCGCGCGTACGTAATTTTCACCTTTGACACAATTTCGATTCAATTAAGCGCTTGCCATTATAGTGCGCGATGAAAAATTATGGATTCAAGGTCGGTGCGGCGCAAATGTTGGCATTTAATGTGCAAATATAGATCGTACCATCAAAAACTGAATATGTACATAACTCAAAGTCTAAAAATCGAAAAATTGCATTTGAAGTTTTTTAGTTTTTCTGAAGGTGAGACACTAATATTGCCCCTTCATGTACGTTATAGATTTGCACCGTCTTTGTTAATGAATAAGCTCTGCCTGCATGAGGGCAACCAAAATCAAAAGATTGCGCCCGTCGTAAAATAGACCAGCGGGCACACCACCAGGTAGCATAATAGTAGAATGTCCACGTATGCGTCCACAACCCTTTCTGGCAAATGTCCCCTTTACGCATAGGGACTTTTAATCTAGCTGACCCGAGGGTACCCGATGCCCGTTGACGCAACGAGAAATGAAATTTTCTCATCATTTGAATATACTCATATTCTAGCCATACTATTACTATGGTATGACTAGTTGTTGATTTTTAGTTTTGAAGGTACACCATGTATAGGCTATCCATGCGGGATAGGTAGCCAATTAGTCGCACATACATTACAATTTACCATCGGATCGTTGGTCGATGGTCGTTTACAAGCGCGCAACGTTAATTAATTGACTTCGAAGATGGAGAGAACTGAGCACCATTGGGACGTGGTATCTCTCTTGGTCTAAAGCTCGACCGCGCTGCAGATGATTTTATTTTTATTGCTTCCTTACCCCGGGGTGTTCGTAAACTGGACCTGCGTCTGGGCCCGCGATACACTTTCTTTTTTTCTCATTGAGCGTCGAGGTGAGGCGCAAACCAAGATCGGACCGCGATCGAAACTTTCCCAATTACGTCGCTAATTAAAAATTTTTAATATTTTTTTTCATCACGGTCCAAAAACTTACCCGGAATGATAAGGTGTGTGATAGTTGGCAAATCCTTCGTGTATAGCCTCAATTGTAACCTGATGGTATACCCTTATCAAACACTATGAAATCACTTTTAAAACTTTTAGACACTTTTAAATCTCCTGGTACCACTACAAATATAATATCCTTAGGAGTTTGATTTGTGGGTAGAAGTCAAGTTAGTGTATTCAAGTGATGGTGATACACTCGCGCACTTCTGTGCACACACCACGTATCAACACAACAAGTCGTGCACCGTTTGGCGTGTTCGACCATTCGAGGTCTCCGGTGGAACTGAAGTCCGTGGTCGCGACGCGTCGCGCGGTGGCCGGTCCGGCGTGGCCAGGTGAGTCCGAGGCGCATGCCGCCGGACCCCGGCCGGGGACCGCCCATCGGGGCGCACAGGTAGTAGCTGGCCGCGAGCGCCAAAGCCCGGCACCACTTCGAATCACAAACAGAAAAAGACGGAGACATCAAATCTGAACACGTATGTCATACCATGACCATACCATCAAAATACTAACATCCCTATACTAGTACTGAACTCAGAATACCTTCAAAATATTAAAATTTTAAAAAAATCAAGATTTTACTTTAGCAATATTTAGTATGTGTTGTAATAATTTATCCTCGAGTATTTACACGCCCAATCAAGGAGGTACCCAAGCGTTTAAACGCTTCATGCGCAATTACACCTGCTGCCAGTGTTATTGGCTGTTGTTCGCTTGTAAACCTATCGACACGTGGTCACACCGAGCTTTCAACTAGTACACCTACTATAAAAGCTCACTCAGCACCTAGTAGCATCAGGTAGGTCGCAATTGAAGGCGCGCAACTGAAAGCGATCACGATCGCGACGTAAAACATAAAATTATTTACGATTCGTCGGTAAATCGCCGTAATTCCTGTGATTACGATGTTACGACTATGCGCGCGCGCGCGCGCAGACACTTGTAATCGTAATTCCGGTAATCAGGTTTGAGATAAGCTGTCCGACACGTCGTTAAACAATATTTTTTTCGACAATTAACAGCCGCAGATAAAGCATAATTAATATCCAATAGTTATTAACTTATAAATGACTTTAATTTATTTTTAGGTTATATGTGCTTAAGTTAAGTTAAGTCTAACCTCACATATATAAGTTAAAGTAACGCTTGTCAATTTGAATTATCTTTTATAAAATTTATTCATGCTTCTCACACGTATTAATTTTTTATTTCGTGGTCCACCCGCAACGAATTATCATCAGAATTGATTCCGTGGTGGGAGAGACGCAAAAAAATGAAAGGAAACGACACAGAAGTACGAATTTGATTTATGCCCGCCGGCGTGACGATATTTCGCGTCGTTTTCATTTTTTCGCTACACGTCGATAAATCTTTCACGCCGTTGAATTAAATATCATAAATCACCTCATTTATAAAATTATTTTTTTCGTAGTGATCAAAAAATTAAAATGTGACTTAAGTCACTTAAGTGTTTTTTTCGTTGTTTTTGCATTCGCCGTTAGTATTCTGTTTGCTCAATATCGGTGTAAGTTGTTATTCTGTTATTGTTATTGATCTCCGAGCAGCAACCACAGTTACAAGCATATTTAAACATTTAACTCGCCTCTCGCAATCGGCGATAAGTTATAGTCGAAGATTTGCATAATTAAAATGTGCGCGCGCGCGCGAGATGGCAAGCGACGTTTAAAAAATACGAAATTACCGTCATAAGCCAGCCACGCTGGTTGCATAATCGATGATATATCTTTTGAATGTCACACGCTGAGCACGCGGCGCATGCGTAGTGTAACAAGGGGCGGAGCAATCTTGCACTTGCAATTAACATTTGTTCAATTTCGACAATTTCGACGTTTATGTAATGTGTATCACGCAATGCGAAAAAAATTGCACTCACTGAAAATTATTTTTGATTATTAGCTATTATTTTATTATGTAATCAATGGAAAAACGCACAAAGCTTTTATTGATGAGTATAAAAGACTGCGAAAGTGTTCAATGTGTTCTAGGGCATGTGGACGACACTTTAACCCTTTGTATTTTTAAAAGGGTGGCATTCAAGAACTACCCTTTTAGTAACAGCGTAGTTTTGCGCTCAAAATATAAATATCTCTTCAGTTTCTAAAATAAACTTTAAAAATTGATTTTATTTATTCTAAATGTTGTTTAATGTTAGTAAAAAATAAAAATTGTTTAAATTATGAATATTCATAATATTTTTTACACCTTTTCGTAGTTGTGTTGTGTTTTGATCCCTTTTAAAAAAGGGACGTTATCCAAGCATATAAAAATGGTCATCCTGGTCATTCTACCTGGTCTCCGCTGGTCACATTCGGGTGTTTGGACGGTAATGTCCATAGATAACGTCCGCATGCTAATAAGCGACGGAATATCGAACGCGTATAAAAGAGGACTTCTTAAGGCCCGTAAAGTAAAGAACGGACGCGGACGTAATGAAGGTTCTCGTCCCGTCCGAGGGCGACTAGAAAGCGTCCGAGAATTCTTGTCCCACGGTCGTTGTCATTTACCGCTCTGACCATTATCTTCCCTCTTTGATGTCTTATATTAATCTAAAAGATGTTTTACGAAACTTTCATAAACTCTTTCAATTCGACCAACTGAGAATGAAAAATACATATCAGTGGGTTATCGTAAACTTTGAGAAGAGATTACTGAATGTTAACAGTTGATTTTTGGACAGTTTTTAGTGTCAAATGAAAGAGTAACTCTTTGGCTATCAGGTATTATGTATTTTGTATAAATAAGTAGTGGCAATGTTTATAATAATTTAATTTTAATTTTTTTCGTTTTGAAAATTTTTGAATTTTATGCATTTTTAAGGTTTTTAAATCAATTTTTGAACATGATCCTGATTAATTTATGTACAAAACTTGATGTTATCTTATAGATACACTCTTTTGGTGTTAAGCAAACGTAATTTGATCAAAATCTAAAACGTACAAGTTTATGAAAATGACATTTTAAATTATGGCGATATTTTTGTTTAACTTTTGAGATTATGAATATTTTGGCATTTTTAAAGATGATTTAAAGTAAATTTTACAAAAATTTGATGACATCTGAAAGTTTGACTCATTATCTATCAAATAAAATAAATTTCATAAAATTCTGAAACTTATAAATGGGTGATAATTACGTTTTAATTTCTATGTCAAAATGTAATACGATTTAAACGGAATATAAAAAACATTTCAGCTTTTAAATCTACTAGGAATCAATGCCAATAAAATTAGTAACATTTTCTCAATAAAAAAATAATTACGCATTAAAAATGAACAAAATAAAACTTTAATCCAATATGAAGACATTAAAACCTTCTTACTACGCACTAGCACTTGTTTATTACGAAAAAATGACCATTTCCGGTTTTTTACAACCAAAAAAACAAAAATAAAAAACTGTAATGCCTCCAAGCTGTATGTTTTAATACATTGCTTTTAATACTTGAAATATATAAGTAATCTTCATGAACACACACACACACACTGATGAAACATGCGCACTCATTAAACCAATGAAACGTGAAACGCGGCGAATAAATTGAGTTATTTCCAGCAGATATATGCGTGATTCGTTCGACTTAGAGATCGAACGCGCTGATAAAAAAGCTCTCTAAACACGTGGTAATGCTAATAGCGCGCGGCGGCGACACACACAGAACCAGCAAGCTCAAGAATAACGCAAGAAGTAGGTATACACGATGAGGCAATATACGCCGCGATGCAGGAAACCAAATCAAGCAAAGAAGAAGTGTTCGGTGAGCGTTAAAATTGATTCGAATTTTTCATTGATTTTTAACGAGATTACTTCCATAAAACAACGTTGCAAGACATTTTGTTTCGAAGCGACAAAAAGTTCAATAACTCGCGGTGGGAAAAAGCTAATTTTATCAAATTAGGCTCAAATGAAAGCTGGATTAATTCTACATTATAAAATATTTGTTATTTTTAAAAAATCTTTGAATAAGCATTAAATATTTACAATTTAAATAAAAAAATAAAAAAATATTTTTAATTTTTTTTTAATTGCAAAATTTAATTAATTACCGATCAAATTTGGTTAAAATTTTATAGTGACTTGAAAGATTAACTATTTACCTATCATTTGCAACAAATTTGATCAAAATATCACAACTCAATGATGAGATATTTATAATTAAGTAAACATTTCACAACGTCAATTGTCAATCAATCAATCGCACAATCACACAAACATATTCCGTAGTCTTATTCAGTAGTCAAAAAATCAACTTTGAACATTCGAAACACGCAAATTTATGCGTAAAATCCGCACGTGATTGATGTCCAAGCGACATATTCAGACCACGCTCGCGTCGCTTACATAAAACCGTCTCGAATTGCCACCGTAGAAACCTGTTGAACTTTAAAAATCCACGCATTGCTCGCAGCGCTTAAAACCACAAGCACAAATAATTTGCTTTTCATGCTGTGTTTTTTTAGGGCTTCAGTGCTGAATTCTGATCATCGTATCAGATCTGTTGAGGTCGCAAGTGTGGTTTTCATCAGTCATCAGCGAATAAGATAATGGCCGGAGCAATTACGCGGGTGAAAGTTTTAAGTTTACAATATCACCGAGTCGCATCGGTAGGGTTTACGAGCGCGTTATCGATGGCGAGCGTGTTAAATACGTCATAAAAACGTCTCGTAAAATATATTCAACTGAAGCACTTGCTCGGTGAGAATAATTTGTGTTTTAATATTTATTGTGTACTTGGTTGCCTAAGTTGTGAAGGTAAAGGTAATATGTAACCTAAAATTTATTGCGTATTGTCGCTTTTTACGTCATAAAACTTGAAAGTCACATAAATAAAGTGTTTTCTAGTTTTGTCAGTGGTTAAAATACAGCTACTAGATTTTGACTGTAGGTTTATGACTAATTTAAGTCATTTGTTTATTTCATCAATATCTTTGTTAATTTTAATGGTGGCAATGTCAAATTTTTAGGATCCACAGCTAATTTAATTAAGTCAATTGTTGCAAAATTTCAACATTGTTATAGCGATAATTAATTATTTATAAGCATAATTATGATGCATTTCATATCATTAATAAAATTAAATTAATGTTTTGTTTTTTACACTTCCTATAACGATTTTTACATAATTTGCACATCATTTAAATTTTAACCGTGTTATAATACATTGTTTCAGGGTATTCTATTCCAAAATTTTGAATTTTAACTTATATACTTGCATAAATACCTTCGAAAAGCAATTCATGGCCAAAACTGCAAGAACCTAGTTTTTTGCATTTTATAACCAAACGACTAAGTTTAGCAAAAAATAGTTTAAACAAAAATTGTAGTTCATTAAATCCTCTATAAAAATTGTTTTTACAGTTTTTTTCTCAGATTGGCAGTTTTTAATGTACAGCAGTTTAAATATTGCTTTTCATTACACGCACAACTACGCCATCTGTATGCAGCTATCTAGAAAAACGACGATTCCGCTGAAACCGTTAAAGCTATTGGCCTTATCTTTTCGTTATTAGATAATATAAAAGTTGTTCTTTATTATGCATGTTAGCTGCTTCCCAAAATTTTTCAGCAACAGCCTCAAAAACGCTAACAAATTAAGACATTTTTTAAGAAAATCAAAAAAAAATTTTGGAGATTTTTTGCTCTTTAAATGCACTTCTTGCATTAAGTGAATTAATAATATCCTAAAATATGAAAATTATATCATATTAAATATGTAAATTGCAATCTTGTTGCATGCGAATTATCAACCGCAAAAAAAAAACATTTCTTTATCTTAATTAAAATCAGTGTGTTGAAAGCAGAAATAATAAAACGAAACGAAATCAAAGCAGAAAAATGTCGAAGTAAAGTCACTTATAACTTCACTTGACCTATAAAACATAAAACCAAAAGAAAATGATCTCCATCTCCTCTCTCAGAGGCGCTCGTCTCGCGTCCTTCTCTTTCCGCTTTTTAATTAACCGATCGAGTGGAAAACATATTAAATGCGCGCATACACACACGTACACTCGTCGAACACAAAGTAATAAATATCCTTCGGACGCGGCGTCTCCTCGAAATAATTACTTAACGTAAATTGCCTTAATTATTTCGCGTCTAATTACGCTCGTTATTTGTTTACCTTTTTGCGTGCGAACAATTTACAATTTAGCATACTCCAGCGCATATATAAAAAGCGATAATTTACGGTTAAAACGTCGCTGGCGAAGGATAAATGCACAAAAATTGTGTTTAATTAATTTATGCGCAAACATTTGAAATGAATTTTTTGTTGCCGGCCAACTTTTGTTTAGATTATTAAATAATATTAATCTCGGATTCGAATGGTTTTGATGTAAATTTATGCTTACGATTAATGCATAATTCATGCCGCCATGCTTGAAATGCAATTAATTGCACTTTGCTTTATTCGTCGATTGTGATCGTAGAGAGACGTGGAGAATATTCGACGGAGTGGAAGTCGTGTTCAACCTTTGCAAGGACGCTGTTGGTTTAGTTCAACAGCGCGATGTCTTCGCTAGGCGCCGCGAAAAGCCACGCCTGTTTGAAGTGACTTAAGTCGTGTTAATCTATAGTCAAGGCACCAAAACAAGAATAATCAAAAGTAAGGTAAGATATTTAACATATATAACCCGTTATACACGACTGCATTAAATCCAAACTTTGATTTTACATAATTTTTGATAATTTTTGACTGTTTTGGTTCTAAAAAGTTTGTCAGTTATTTTTTAGACAAAGTTAACAAAATAAAATAAGTTGTCGCGAAAACTTGTCACAAATGGTCATCTGTCATTTATTTTGCGTAGAACTGCAGCGCGCGGTGGCGGAAATATGTACTACACAGTTTATTTTTAGTTTATTGTTGTTTTTCGGCAAAATAACCATAAAATTCGTAGAGAAATTTACTAAAAATCAAGTTTTCTTCTTTATTTATGATATAGAACAGAGTTATTCACCGAAAAACCTGTTTTTATGCCTTTAATTTAATTTTTAAATTTTTTAAAATACAGTTTTTGAAGGTTAGGTTTCCCATTACTATGCCAACCCTGTTATTTCAACCTGTAATAAATAATTTCGTATACCATGACAAGTTCCTTTATCTTGTTATTCTACCAGAACTATATTATTGATCCAACCGGTAGTTTTAGTGCTCACATGCGCAGTTTCTTGCCCAGTCGGCTTAAACACACGGAAATGCAATGGAAAGTAAACGGGTACGGACCTTTTACAGCTGGCAATTAACACTACGAGTACACTGTTTATTATGAGTTAACAACGCAACAAAACACAAAACAATAAACATTGTATTATTGCTTAGGAATTATTATGCTCTCTGTTTTACGATGACTATGTTTAATGTCTTGTAATTTTGTTATCGTTTAAGACAGAAATACCAAAGAATAGCAACACCTTAATAAACTGTTTATGTCTCTTCATAACCAAATTGAGCATTGTGTCTCATTTAGTTCATAAATTATAAGCATATTTAGAAATTATTACTTATTTAATGCTATTTGAAATATTTAAAGTATTGTAGTCTTGTTACTTGTCAATACGTTAACGTCAGATTTGGTATGTGCGTTACTAATTGCTATGTTAATGTCCACATAAAATATTATTGCTATTTTCTTACTTAAATTTAAGTAACAAGCGTTTCAGTATGAAAATCATAAATTTTGGAATGCAATTATTCACCTTTTACAATTTTATTTTTAAAAAAATTGTTAAATTAGGAAAATATTATTATATACCCATCAAACTTTGCATACTTATTAGGCATGTACTTAAGTCACTTTTGATAAAATTTGAAATAAATATCTTAATTTGTTTAATAATTATAAACAAAAATATAAATAATTTAATAAATATTGATCTAATATTTTAACACCCTGTATCTCTGTCACCTGTCCACCCACAAACTTCAAATTTATAATTTGCATAACTAATTAGCAAATCTATAATCACCTAAATTTTTATTAAAATAAATTTAATCAGAACCAAGTTACAAAGCTTTTTTTCATAAAATTTAAAATTTTTAACTTTTAATTTTTATCAATTTTTTCTCCACGAATAACTCTGCATAAACATACACTACATCTACCAAATTTGGTATAGTGGTTAACAAGGTCTTTCTTATTATGTGCACCAATTTTCGTACTTTTCCCATCACTGATCGTGGCTCTACACGCGTTGAAATTACCTCGCTTCGTCTTCAATTCGAGCAGCGTTGTTGCTGCTACGCCCTCGGGCGACGCACATATTTCACGCGTACAGTTTAATCTGCGAAAGTAAATTAACCCACTCAGCCATACATACACTCACCAATACACACACACTGACAGATCCATTCATCTGTGCGGATATCAGCATCGATTTTACATTTTTACATTTGGTGCTTTTTATTTTTTGTGGGCACGGCATCGCTTTCCAATTCGACGCGAGAGACAACGAAACACATGACTTAAGACTTAACATGAGTAAAAACTTAAGTCGTGAGTTAATGCGAAAACTTTCGATATCGAACGAGGAAATAAAAATAACAATCAATTACGATGTGATAAATTATTTTATTGATTGTTACTTTTCGAGTTGAATAAACAACGAAATAAATGGTTTGTGGACGGAAGCAGTGTTTCTGAGCGCAAGAAATAGTTGAAGAATAATGTCACGGCCACTTTTAATAATAGACTCATTTTTTAAGTTTCAAAGTTTTCGATTTCGTTTGCGTTTGGGTTGTGTTGCGGTTCGAGAGACGAAATTAAATGTTAGACGAGCGATAAAAGTGAAAAGAATTCATAACTCATGCGAATATGGCTGCTTTTAACTAAATTGGGAGGTTTTTATTCGAGGTATGAAGTAATGCGTGGTTGGGGAACAAATACAGAGCAATAAATTATAAATAATGATCAATAATTTCAAATGAATCAAGAAAATCATAAAAAGAAATTTATAAACATTTTTAAATTCAAATTACTTGCAAGTGAATAAATAAATATTGCAATAATTACAATTAGTCAAGGAAAATGTGGTTAAATGTTTGAAGACATTAAACTTTTATAAAAATTTCTACAGGGTGTTCAATAAATGGGCATTAAAAATTAAAAATTAGGATAATTATCTTTAAAAGCGTTATAACTTTCTTATCATTAATAATAGACCCACATAATTTTGTAAAGACATTAAGAATAAGGTAAATATACAGAGTGTTAAATTTGGCTAATATTGATTTGCTCCCTTAAAAGTTATGAGCTTGCAAAGTCAGCAATTAAAAAAATTAACACTTCAACTTCAAAACGTGATAACTCGGAATTAATGTAACATATAAATTTGATAATTTGGCAAATCATTGATAACTACATAAATATATAGTATGTTAAATTTCATATTTTTATTTTATTGCCTCACGCGTGATGTATCGGATCAATAAATCGAAGATTTGTATCTTGTACCGTTTCTCGGCTATCCGTCATTGTCGTTTGCGTCAGCGGCGGCCGCGGCAAAAAAGGCGCATTGACAGAAATTACTAAAAATTACAAGCGCGTCGATGCGTCGCTTCTTGCGTAATCGATTTGACATTTTGACATTTCGGTCTTTAACGCTTTTACGCATTCACCACACAAATCACTGCACAAAACTTATTTAAAGTTTAAGATATAAGTAGTAAACTTTTGCATAAATCACAATCATTCTGACGTATTTATTAACGAATTATTTTGAAAAACTTTAAATTGTTATTACACGCAAGTTACTTGCGCTGCAAACTTCAAAATGGATGTGTGAGATACTTAATGAATCAATAAATTGAATTTATTGAGTAATTAAAATAGGAAAAACCGAGAAAGGCGGAAATTTTAAGATTTAAAATTGAAAAATTGAATATTTTTGTTAAAAACAACAATAAATGTTGTGAATCGTGATAAAAACATTAAAATTTAATAAAATTATTAAATATTAGTTATTTAAGTATATAAAACGTTTATTTTTAAGAAAATATTTCTGTCCAATTAGAAATTATGATTTTTTCAAATATTTTTTTAGTAAAAATTAAAAAAAAAGCAAATTTTCTATGTTCTCTTAAAAAATTCGTAAAAAATTTTCTCTAAATTGGTTAATAAATAAACCAAATGTTCTATAATATTGGTGTTTATACTAATAAACAATATACAGGGTGTTTTTCCATTTAATTTTTAAAAACAAATTTTTTTATATTTTTCTTTTCTAATATCCTAAACCAGTTCCAAGTTTTGGATGCGAAATTGTATCACCTGAATCATGAATCATCTCATACACATCATCTCAACGTGAAAAGAAGAATCGAAGCGTGAACCATCAAAGAAAACCGAATTGGCTCTGCATGATTCTTTGCGCTTCTCGAGCACCCAAAGATACACGTTATAACAAGCTACACGTGGAACTGATAATGAAACGAAAATAAACCCCATGGAATTAATTCGAATGCGAGATTAAATGTTTGCTGCCCGCTGTTGAACACGGAGATCGGAGGGCGATTGGGGTGCAGCGCGCAAAAAGTGGATAAACAGGTTTGTAGATTACGCGTTTCAACCGGCAGCACATTCCGGAGCTTATTTAGGGGTTGATACAGTTTAGATAAGCACCAGGACATAGAAAAGTATAGAAATTATGAGAATTTTACGAGATTAAAACTAAAACATTTATATTTTCAGTGTGGTAATTTGTGTCAACTTTGACAGTCAATAACTCAAAAAGTATTAAAGATTGGAATCAAATATTTGGCACACTTCTATAAAATATATAAATCTAATTCATTATTAAATTATGAATTTGTGTCTTTTATAGTTTGTTAATTATGCGCAATTTATTAGAAAACTAAAATTTAAAAACGAAAATATGCAATAATATCTGATATACCCTGTATCTCTGTTATCAATAAGTTGACAATAATTAAATTTTAGGCATATATTAAATATAATACCAACTATATTTCAGCTAAATTTTAATTCTATATTTTAATTAGTTTCTGCCATAATTAAATTATAATTGTGATAAACTTTTAAATATTGATTTTAGCTTCACATTTTTTTTTATTGTTGAGAAAGTCTTTTATCTCAGGTTATATTTAAGATACAAGATATAAATTTTAGGAAATAATTAGCAATTTTATTGGCTATTAACCCTAAATTTTTGAAAGTACTACGTTTGTTACTTTCTATGTTATTGCAATTTTTAGAAAAATATGCAGTACAAAAATATACCCAAACAGTTTTACTTTAATGCTCCGTATCTCAAATTTTATCAATACTTAAATAACAATATTTTTCACAATTATTGCACACATTAATGACTTCATTGTCACCAAATTTCAACTGCGTAGGTTAATTAGTTTTGCAATAATTAGACTTTAATGTTATGCGTCGCACTAATGATGTGAAATTTAATTCTACGAATTAAAATTGGATCAAAATACGTTTATGCATCGACATATCGAAATCGATAAGTTGTAAACTTCGAAACGACACGTGTGTGCCTGATGAAGTCTGACGTCTTCGATGTGTCGGCTTTTCGGCTCGGGTTTTCGTGCGCTCGGAATTTCGGTGAAAGTTTTCGGTGTGAGCGCGCGGCGTTTTTAA